TAATGTTTCTTAGTTACTTTACACCACTGGATAAGTAACATATTAGGGGTTGAGGCATTATAAGAATGTAGGTTTTTTCCGCATAGCATTTAATTATTGCACAGTACAATTGCAGAAGACAGTGTATGTCTCGCAGGTTGTATTTTATGTATTTGTGTCAGTTATACATATCTTTTAGAAGCCAATGTAAACTATAACGTTCATTTTGTTGTTATTTACCCCCAGGTGCTGAAGATGTGTCGGCTGCGTTTGAGTTCCTGGAGAGCTGCTCCACGCTGACGGTGAAAGACCCTGGAGCTCAGAGTGCTGACCGACTGGGAAATACAGATGTGTTAAAAACGAATATATATAGCTTCTGATTTCAGGTAAACCATGTCAGAGTCATTTTACAAAACCTGATAATATAGACTTAGGTGTTTGATTCAGTATGAGGGTTGCCTTATTGCTTTTATAATTTATTGTCTTTCAAACTTTTTAAAATGTGTTTATTGTATTGTTTTATGTTTGAATTTGGGAATTAACTCTCACATAAATTATTAAAATTCAAGTTATAAAGACTGATTGTTGAGTCCTATTTTGAACAATTAAACCCAAAGATCTACTTATTATTATTTATTAATTTGGTTGTTAATAATAATACATTATTACAATAAGGTTATCATTATTTATACGGAATGTGACATTGTTTTTGAGATCTAAACAAAAGCAATTTTTGAGGAAACTGAATTTGGGGAATTTCAAAATTCTGACTTTTTACAAAAAACTCTAAAAAACCTCTGACTTTTTTCTCAAAACTCAAAAATTCTGACTTTTTTCTCCAAATTCAAAATAAATTCTGACTTTTCTAAAAAGACAAAAATAATTCTGACTTTTTTCTCAAACTTCAAAAACAAATATGACTTTTTACAAACAATTCTAAACATTTCTGACTTTTTTTTACAAAACTCAAAATAAATTCAGTTTTTTTTCTCAAAATTCAAAAACAAATCTGACTTTTTTTCTCAAAATTCTGACTTTTTTTCAAAGAAATCAAAATAAATTCTGACTTGTTTTTTCTCAAGATTCAGTTTTCTTTTCAGAATTTTGACTTTCTCTTTTTTATCATAATTCTGAGATTAATGTCACATTTCTGGCCTTTTTCTAAGATAAAAGTCAGAGAAGGTCTCTCATTATGATGACTTAGGGCTTCTTTTATATTTCCATCTCATCAGTGGAAATGGATGTTATGATGCTCCATAGTTAGTCCGTAGATATGCTGAGACGGCACGTTTCTACTCATTTTGGGAAAGTTTCTCACTGTTTTAAAAAGTCATTATTTTGACAAATGTCCTAAGAGAGATTTTTGACATGGTGACATTTTTTTTACGGGAAACAGTCTACATGCCTGACCAAACGTTATGCTTCTTTAAGACCAGTTAATCTAAGCCCTTTGACAACACAGGATATATTTTGTACCTGTGATAAAAATGGAGGAAGCTGCTCCTCTTGCAGCACGAGCCAGCTGCAGTAATGCTGAGGCTGCTGGATGCTGAGCTCCATTGAAATCGGTATAATGGCTGAATACTTCTGCTGAGGCAGGCCATCCACAGGGTCACTCTTTGCCCCCCGGACCCTTTGTGTCCCCCAACAATGATGCTCCAGCCCCAGGGCCACGGCCACACAGCATTGTCCTCTGCAGCCAATGGGAGAGCAACAAATACTCTTAATTATGTGATGTGTACGGCTTCTGTGCATACGTGTGTAAATGCACAGGTGAATTCAGGTGGAGTCTTTCACTGAGATCTACTCTGTGACGAAGGGGAGGGGGACGTCACACAAAGAAGGAGCCAATCACACATAAGCTGTTTGGATTTATGCCAGGGCTTTTGGGGATTTGAAGACTTCAGTACAAGTGGCAAAAGCCAGGTTTTAAAAAAAAAAAAAGTCGACGAGATGCCGTACACACCGTCGGGCTTTTTCTGCGACCGGCTGATCCGGGAGCGAGAGCGCAGAGACGGGGAAGGGTCTCTGAACAAACCCCTGCGCTTCAACGGACAGGACTTCAGCGTCCTGCGCCAGGAATGTCTGCAGAAGAAGAATCTGTTCGAGGATGAGTCTTTCCCCGCCACCGTGGAGTCTCTGGGCTTCAAGGAGCTGGGGCACAAGTCCAACAAGGTCAAGAACATCGTCTGGAAGAGGCCCAAGGTAGGAGGAATGAGAGAGGGGGGTCAAATATCTCACCTGTATCACACCTGGAGGGAGGCTGTGGCTCAGGGTGATGGGTTGTCTTTTAATGGGTTGGTGGTTTGATTCCCGGTCCATACAACTGCTTTTCAGTCACTGTGGTTATAAACGTCACTTAAATGTAAAAAAAAACGTTGTGGAAAACTAAAATGCTGCGGTGGGATTTTCAGAATCAGAAAACTTGATTTATCCCGTATTATTTTTTATAAAGTTGTATTCAAATTGTATTTTACTATCTATATATATATCTCTTTTTAATGGAGCAGCTGTAACCAAATCCGATCCCCCCGTGGCGTCATAAAAGTGTTTCTTATACTGAAAATATAGGAGATGGAAAATAACACATTTATTTTTATTAAATATCGAACATTACAATTTTAGCTTCTCTGTGTTTCTAAATACTGTTTTTATTTTGTATTCCTTTTTCCATTACATTGTGACAAAATGCAATTCCTGATTCTGATTCTAAAAGGAAACGGGCAAACTGAGAAAATGCTCACTAAGATTGAAAATCAAGTATAAAAAAAACAATATTCAAACCAAAAAAAGGCAAAAAGAATTAATAAACATTTTTTTATATTTGTTGTAAACATATGAGGTTAAAGTACAAATGTATAAGATGTATATTAAAATATAAAATGTGATGTAGTGGTGTTAATATTATATGTTTTACCTGGAGATGCTCAGGTTAATTGAAATGTATTAACTCTATTGCCACACAACCTTTTTTACCTTTATTTTAATGGTTGTTTCATCCATTTAGAGACGACTATAATTTAGCATTTGACAAAAATCCCATGACTCACAGGATCTAGAAAAAAGCTGATGTGAGATTGATTTAGCTGTAATGTCATGGAAGTTTCATCTTTTTGGATATAACTATAACTACAGTAAGTACTTGAAATAAATCTCCAGATGTCGAAAATCACAATTTATTTTTTGTTAACTTTGAGTTTGCTCTTCTTTCTGTGTACAGGAGATCTGTGAGAACCCTCAGTTCATCGTTGGAGGAGCCAGCAGGACAGACATCTGCCAGGGAGATCTGGGTACACACACACACACACACACACACACACCACACACACACACACACACACACACAACACACACACCACACACACACCCACACACAACACACACACACAACACACACACACACACCACACACACACACACACACACACACACACACACACACACACACACACATCTTGCCTGCAGCGGCCTCCACATATTGTGCTCCACTCTTTTGGAAGGAATTCATCTAGCAGCACTTCTCATTGTTTTGCAGTTCAGCAGAAAATAAAAGGGACAAGCACAGTGTGAAAAAATTACATTGTTTTAGGTCACACACACACACACACACACACACCCAACACACACACACACACAACACACCTGGACAATCAGAAAACACACACACGTCAGCACTCTGCGGTGGTTTTTTTCCTCTAAAAAACACACAAAAAAACAGCTGTTTCTGGTAAAAGGAAAAAAGACAAAATGATTTCAAACAGAATACTTTTTGGGAGGGTCTCACCAAAGTTTAAACGATCCGCATTGTTAAAAAATATTTGATATTTCACTGTCACCAAAATGGCTCTTCTTTATTAATCCGCGAGCTGTAAAAAGTCCAAAAAGTCACTGATTAGGCCTTAATTGGTATTTAAATGATTCCTTCTACAGTCTTGGGAAGTATGATTTTATGAATCACTCTTTTATGACAATTGAATGTAATGCTTCTCACATTAAAGTCATGCAGGTTAGGATAGAGGAATCACCAAAACTCATATTTACTTTATCATTGCCTGATACACAGTCTGTAAACTAGTGATGACCTGGAGAGATATTTAAGGTTACAGACATTCGGGCAACATTTTTCCTTTTTTCCCAAAATGTAAATATTAATTCGATTTATTAAAGGTAGGGTAGGTAAGAATGGAGGAACCAGCTCGAGTGCGCTAGAATTTGAAAGTACACAACCGGAAAAAATCTGCCCCTTCCTTCAGACTTCCTTCCAGAGCCCCTCCTCCAACACACGAACGCGCACATGACCAATGAGGGGCACGAGATAAGTTTGTGCACGAGATGGAAGGCTGACAGGCAGGTAGGCCATCCAGTTATCTGCCGAGGCAGATGATTGGTCGTAGCTTTTTACAAGCGCCACGCTTCCACAGATGAAATATTTGTATATATTTATTGTCAAAGCATTTAATGTATTCATTGCTATCGGATGTTAAGAGCATTCCATGGAATATAACAAAAAGTGTTTCTGAAGTGAATTACCTACCCCCACCTTTAAGTTAACTTTAATATAAGCATGTAGGCTCTACAATGTGGACATTAATGCAATGTCTGATACGTTTTATTTATGTAATGAGTTATTGAATGTCTTTGTATCTGGTATAGGCCGGCTTTAGTGTTTCCTGTGTGAGACAAATTTAAGTATATAAAAAAAGAACGATCACATTCAAGGGAATTCAAATGGAAATTATTTCCTGTGTTCAGGTGCATTAACATGATGTTACTTCCTGTGTTCAGGTGCATTAACATGATGTTACGTCCTGTGTTCAGGTGCATTAACATGATGTTACTTCCTGTGTTCAGGTGCATTAACATGATGTTACGTCCTGTGTTCAGGTGCATTAACATGATGTTACGTCCTGTGTTCAGGTGCATTAACATCATGTTATGTCCTGAGTTCAGGTGCATTAACATGATGTTGTTTCCTGTGTTCAGGTGCATTAACATGATGTACTTCCTGTGTTCAGGTGCATTAACATCATGTTATGTCCTGAGTTCAGGTGCATTAACATGATGGTTGTTTCCTGTGTTCAGGGTGCATTAACATGATGTTACGTCCTGTGTTCAGGTGCATTAACATGATGTTACGTCCTGTGTTCAGGTGCATTAACATGATGTTACTTCCTGTGTTCAGGTGCATTAACATGATGTTACGTCCTGTGTTCAGGTGCATTAACATGATGTTGTTTCAGGTGACTGCTGGCTGCTGGCGGCCATCGCCTGCCTGACGCTTTACGAGAAGCTTCTCTACCGAGTGGTTCCTCACGAGCAGAGCTTCTCTGACGGATATGGAGGCATCTTCCACTTCCAGGTCAGAATACAACATCTAATTATCAGATATTCAGTCCTGCATCTAGCTTTGTATCCTCCTTAATATCAAGTTTACTGAAACAAATGAAGAAAACAACCATTCATTTAATTTCTCCTGAAACAGTGGCTGCCCTTTTAATTGGTTTGGTTTCAGTCAGTTGCTGTTCATGACTCTAGTCTAAACACACCCAGAATAACATGTGTTCATTTAGCAAACAAGAGCAAATATTGAACAAAATATTATACAAAACATGAAAGTATATTTGCAGAATGTAAAGTGGATGTTTAGTGCAGAAATATGTAAAATTCAGGCACATGAACCCCACAAAGAACAAACTAACTTCCCATTAAAGTGCAATTTACTTATTATCTAAATAGTTATCACCGTAATAAACTGTATATAATGTCATCTTACTGTACAAATTTAATTTTACATTCTGTTCTTGTATATCATATTCTATTTACGTGTATATAGACTTTTTGCACTATTTTTTATTTGTATTTTTGTATTAAATATATATGTTGCATTGTTAGAGGAGCTCAGGTCAGAAGAATTTCATTGCCATTTCTACACTGTAGTGTATGTGCATATGACATTAAAGGTCACCTATCATGCTATTTTTATGCAATAGCATAGGTCTCAAAAATATATAGAAAACATGTCTATGAAGTGTTTTGCTCAAAATACCTAACAGATCACCCATTCCAGCCATGCCTCATATCCCTCTATTTCACTTCCTGTTTCAAAAGTGCTGATTTTGGGTATAAAGCTTTAAAAAGAAATGAAATTGATTTAAAAAAAAAAGGAGGGGTCTGAGCTCATGCGGGACCCGGCAGCTACTGTCTAAACTAAATACTGCCGTGATGAAACGCCATATCATGGATTATCAATGATTGTTTCTGAAACAGTATGGAGCTCAAAGGCTTTCTCTCTTGCCGGTTATACCACAAGGTGAGTTCCTTTTTATTTCCTGCTTCTTCACACACATGCTCTCCAGTACAGGTTAGCTCTGAGTGTTAGCGATGCTAATGTAAACACCGACCATATTACGTCCAAAACAGTCGGGCATTATTTCTGATAGCAACGTTTCTGATAGGTCCGTGGGTCCACATTTCAGATATTACGTCATATCGGACGCAAATCTGGATCAGCTCCGTTGTAGCCCCGTTTTTAGAGATGTGGGTACGGAGGAAAAGAGAGAGGGTTTTATTTTCTGACGCTGCGTGAGTTCCCTGGAACACCGGGGACACATATTTATGTATAAAAGACATCAAAAAGTGCATTTTGCATGATAGGTCCCCTTTAAAAACACTTTTGAATCTTGAATCTTTAAATCTAAACGTTATAGAAGTTGAAGGAATGTTAGTATAAATATGGTTTCTCCTTCCTCCTTGCAGTTCTGGCGTTATGGGGACTGGGTGGACGTGGTTATCGACGACCGCATCCCGACCTTCAACAACCAGCTGGTCTTCACTAAGTCAGCTGAGAGGAACGAGTTCTGGAGCGCGCTGCTGGAGAAGGCCTACGCCAAGTCAGTGCTCATTTATTCTGTATATTAATATAAGTACTGGGTGATTTCTACTTCTGTTTACAATCACTACACATATGAAGAAGCAATGTTTTGTGGCTGACTTGTGATTCAGACAGGTTGTAGCTGTATTTTTTGCAGCTGCATACAGTAAAGTAATATTTTATTTGATTTCTCAAAACATAATTTTATTCTAAGCTGAATTTGCTTCAATCAGTTTTCGTCTTGTATATTTTTGCAGGATTCTTTTTTTAATGTATTACTGTATTTCCATTTTCTTTTTCAATTTGTTTTTATTTTCTAAAACGGAGCAACTGTAACAAAATGACCCCAGGGATTTATGAAATAATATGAGGTAGAAAATAACTTTATAGTGTCTAACTAAGATTAAATATATAAGCCAAAAAACAGTAAATGTATTGATAATTAAACTAGAAATTGGGTTTCGTCACAGTAAAATATAATAAAATAATAAAATAATAATTAATAAAAAAACAATATAAACGTACAAAGTTAAAGTAAGAATGTGCAATAAAAGATCAAATCAAAAATCAAACAAATTACTTAATATAACCGGGACAGTGTCTAACTTAGATTAAATATATAAGCCAAAAAAGAATCAAATTAAATAAATGTATTATTAATTAATTCTCAGTTTCAGAATATTTTACAAGATCATGGGATAAATTGGGTTCCGTTACAAAATTGAATTAAATAATAAATAGATAAAAATCTAAATAAACATACAAGTTAAGTAAGAATGTGCCAATTAATAGGTAAAATAACTACAATTAAATAAAGATAATTATGTTAAAATAGGATGTTTTATTTATGTTAAAATATCCCATCAAAAGGATATTAAGGCTGAGTTGCACAGTGCATTTACAGGCTGTTCTCCTGTTCTCCTGTTCTCCTTGCTCTCCTCAGGCTGCACGGCTCCTACGAGGCTCTGAAGGGAGGAAACACCACGGAGGCCATGGAGGATTTCACCGGGGGGGTCACTGAGTTCTACGAGATGAAGGAGGCGCCCAAGGAGCTCTACAAGATCATGAAGAAAGCTCTGGAGAGGGGCTCGCTCATGGGCTGCTCCATCGACGTGAGTACTGACAACACTGTATATAAATACATTTTATTAATACTGTATATATGATCAGGACATGGTGGTCAATAGCCGCTTTCACACCAAGTACTTTGCCGCACTTAGTGCCCAGCACTTAGTGCCCCCATGGAACTTAGTACAGATCGCGTTCACACCGGAATAAGTTCCCTGAGGGAAGATTAGGCAAATGAAGCCGCTGACGTCACTTCTTCTTCTTCTGCTTTGGGTTTACTGGCAGGCCGCAAACAACTTCACGGCGTATACTGCCACCCGAAGTCCCCGGCCGGAAGTCCCCGGAGTTGGGGACTGGCTTCAGTAGAAGCTGCTGGGACTCCCAGCAGCTTCTACTGAAGCCTTCCCAGTAAATCGTCAGAACACCGACACCTCCTCATCTCCACCGCTCCCATGTTTTCTTTTGTGTTGCCATAAGTTAGTCTCTCTCCGTTGGTGCGCGGGGCTAATGCTAATGCTAATAATGCTAATGCCACAAAACTTTTCAGAGTTTTACGGGGCGTGGTTTGCAATCCGCCCAGCCAATCAGAAATTGGTACTTTTTTCTCCCCAGGATAGTACCAACTCTCTAGCAGGCACAACAAATGGGGGTAAAAGTTCTCTGAACTAAGTTCTCTTTTTGGTGTGAACGCAAAATTCCAGGCACTAACGGAACTAAACGGGAAAAGTACGGGTAAAAGTACTCCGGTGTGAAAGCGCCTAATGATGAATGGCTAGTAACCTTTCTATATTACCTGCACTCTATGTTCTTACTCTGGACACAGACATATATTTAACTATATCTATATATGTACATTTACATCTACATATGTACCTGTTTATACTTTTTTTTATAGAAAGACTGGATAATGTTCATTTAATAACTTTTGATATGTCCAGGCATCTAGGGCCAACTACTTCATTTAATTATTGTATTATTTATTCTTACCAACTTTGTGTGGTTTCTATTCTTTCCTGTCTGCCACTATATGATTTTTAGCAACTGTATCTCTATGGGTTAAAGATAGTTGAAGAAATTAAGATTAAAAAACCTTTAGAAAATCTCAAGAAATTCATATTTATCGCAATAAAGTGGAATGAGTTTGTGTATATGCATCAAGACATAAAAACAAATCAGGGCAAATCAAAAGTTTTTTTTTATGTTTTAAGAATAAATGTAAAAGATTCTGCAAACCTTTGGCTAAAATGTTTCATGTGTTTATCATTTTTACTTATTAATTCTGAGTTTTCCTTTAAATAAAGTGTTGTTTTTAATATTTCTGCAATATAAACGTGTGTTTTTGTGTCTGCAGTCGCTGGTTTCCTGCCCGCTTTGAGACTCGTACGGTGACGGGACTCGTGAAGGGCCACGCCTACTCTGTGACCGCCGTGGAGGAGGTGAACAAGAAATACATATCTTTTATAATTTAATTATCTCGGATAGTTTTTACCTCCGTGTCCTGCAGAGCTGCACGCACACAGTCACATTGCCAGGTTGTTTACATGTGATAATGTCGTCCCTTAGTGCAAGCCGTCTCAGCTAAAAGAGTCTAAGGTGCGTCTGGTGCGTCTCAGGAACCCCTGGGGACAGGTGGAGTGGAACGGACCCTGGAGCGACAAGTAACCGCCTCTCACTACATTAAATGAAATATATATATTACTCTATATCGACTACTCTGAAGTCCTTATGAGAATTGTTCCACCTAAAACCTAAATTGAAATATCATATATCAATGCATTTTTCCACTTTAGCCCTTATTATTGCTACCAATTGCGTATACATTTTGAGAGTTTTAACCCTTTAAATTCCAGTTTGTTTACATCCTAACTTTATGCATGTTTCCCCGTCCTCTCCCAGCTCTAAGGAGTGGACGACGCTCTCTAAGACGGAGAAAGAGAAGCTGCAGCATCAGAGCGCAGAGGACGGAGAGTTCTGGTGAGAACAGTTTTAAAAGCGTTGAAAGAAATAAGTGCAGTACACCTGAATCTGAAAGTGTAAGAGTTGTGGTTTTAAAGTGTGGTAGTATTGTGCAGACGTCTTACCTTAATTCCCATGGTGTCCCGATGTTTTTTCCAGGATGTCTTTCGAGGACTTCAAGAAGAACTACACTAAGATCGAGATTTGTAACCTGACCCCGGACGCTCTGGAGGACGATAAGATCCACAAGTGGACGGTGTCGGTGAACGAGGGCCGCTGGGTGAGGGGCTGCTCGGCCGGGGGCTGCAGGAACTACCCAGGTACCCTGCTCTAAAACAATAACATGTACTAGTATAAAGTGGCATCAAATAATAACAAATACAACTTTAAAAACAACAAGTAATTACGATACGATATACTTTATTGTCCCCGTGAGGACATTTGCTCTGCAGTTCTGCATACATGTACATATACAAACATAGTAAACATTAAAATACATACACATATCATCACTCATACACCGTTTGAACAAACACAAAACACAGACGCACAGACTGACAATGGCGACCTATTGCACAACCCTCATGGCCGACATTTCAAAGAATATTACATTCCATGTGAGTGTTAAGAAGCTTAATGGACAGAGGTAGGAATGAGTGCTTATTGGGGTTAATAAAAACTATCTTCATGTATTGAAGAACAATGCAGGAAAACACTTAAACTATATTAAATAAAAACAAAAAAATATATTTTAAAATGTGTCAGGATCTTTCCAGTAAAAACCCTTTTTCAGAACTTAAAGTGGACCTATCATGCTATATTTGAATAATATAGTGTAGGGACCATACCTATATAAGGCATATTTATACTTTTTTTTTTTCAAAATACCAAACAGATTCATGCATTTTAGCCATGCCTCATTTTGCTCAATTTGACATTTTTTAGCTCTGTTTTTGCAAGGGCTGATTCAGTGAGAACAGCACCATCTACTGGCCTGGCATATGTACTACAGCGTCTCCAGCACTTTCGAACGGCAATGGCCGTGGTTGTCTCCTCCTGATTGGTGGAGTTGGCCCAATAGCCCGTAGCGCCACCGTCCTGACGTCAGGACAGTGTTCAAATCTGGATCAGTTTTTATCAGATCCGTTGCAGCAGCCCCTTTTTTAGAGATTTGGGTATGGAGGAAAATAGAGAGGGTTTGTTTTCTGACACTTGGTGAGTTCCCTGGAACACCGGGGACATATATTCATGTAGAAAAGACGTACACAAGTGCATTTTGCATGATAGGTCCCCTTTAAAATAAAAAGCTAACTGTCCCGTTACTTGTTCTGCAGACACGTTCTGGACGAACCCCCAGTACCGCCTGCGGCATGCTGGAGGAGGACGACGACCCCGAGGACAACGAGGTGGGCTGCACCTTCGTGGTGGCGCTGATGCAGAAGAACCGGCGGAAAGAGAGGAAGATGGGAGCCAAACCTGTTCACCATCGGGTTCGCCATCTACGAGGTGATCTCACTCTTCATCAGTAATGGGGGATTTTCCCAGAAGGGTGCTGCCGAATTATGAGCCACAAAGAATCTAAATGAATGATCATGACGTTGTGTTGGGGGCCACTTTATGTAAGAAATGTAAGAGTACAGAGTATGGGGAGAGGGGCTATATGTTGTGGAGAAAACTCAGGATTTTCCGAGAGTAATTATGTACATTTACAGGAGAACTTTGGTCAAAGAACATGGCTTCACGTTGGTCGGATCAACCTCATCTCTCCACAAACGCCACGTCTTGTTGTGTCTCTGCCTGCAGTCTGTTAAATAATCTAATGATATACTTGGCAAGGAGATTAATCAATAAGAAAATCAAGAGTTTTGCGATGTAGAAAGTCTTTTATACATTATACATTTTCATACATTTTCATACATTTACAAATTTAATCTCAGAAAATATCAACAACAACAAAATTGGAATACAACCCCTTCTCCTCTGGCCATCTGTTTCATATTTATACTATAAATACATTATATATTATTATTATTATTATTATTATATGAATACAGCTTTTATCACAAATAAGCTTTTGCATGTGTACCCTTTAATGACCCAAACGCTGACCTTTCCTCTGTTTCTCTGCAGGTGCCAAAGGAGGTAAGGAGGAGAGGAACTGGAGCAGCCGTCTGCGAGTTAAAACACATCATACTATTTTAGCTATGTTATATGAGTGTTTATAGTCATGTTTCGGGACCCCTCCCCCTCTTTAGATGCACGGCAACAAGCAGCACATGCAGAAGGACTTCTTCCTGCTGACCTCCTCCAAGGCGCGCTGTAAATCCTACATCAACCTGCGGGAGGTGACTCAGCGTTTCCGGCCTGAGCCCGGGGGAAATACGTTGATCGTTCCCTCGACCTACGAGCCCCACCAGGAGGGCGAGTTCATCCTGAGGGTCTTCAGCGAGAAGAAGAACACCTCAGAGTGAGTGGGGGGTGGGGGGGGGGCTGGAGGATTATTAGAATCAGATACAGATAGAGATGTGTGACTTTACCTGATTCATGTTGATGTTTCTGAGCAGGGCTGGGTGTTGAGAGAGAGAGAGCATGATTGGCTAATGGCTTTAATAGAAGTTATTACAGGATATGGAGAGGTAGTGCTTCACACGCAGATCAAGAGAACGTTTAAGTATTTTAACCTGGTTATTTATTGGATTTCTCCCTCTTAAAGACTTGCAACACTGCTTTAGGGCTGCAGGTTACTATTGTTTTAAACAAAAGCTAGTTACAAATGTCAATTTTCTCTCGTTTTGTCAAAAACACAATTCAAAACTTGAAGATATTTGGTATTGACATGTGTAGTAAATCAACTGGTTTGATTCCTGTTTAAATCCAAACTCTATAAATGCCCTTTAAAGCTGATAAAGAGTCTATTTCTGCTCAAAACGTACCTTTCTATTAAGGATGCATGATATTGGAATTTAGATTTTCAATATGTTGATATTTTCCAGCTCATTTTGGCTGATTGTCTTACAGATATAAGCCCTTCAATTATACATAACATCAAGTAGTCTCTAGTGGAATTAACCTTTATTTTTTATACCTTTTATAACCTTTTATCGCACTGGCAGACTCATACATAAAATACAATCATTTGCAAAATAAGAAAAGTGCTTTGACACCTTTTCTAGGTAAACGCAAAAAGCAGTACATATGTGCAGAAACCAAATACACGTTGATGTCGTTGTTTGTCCTTATTTTCTAATATAACAAAATTGAAATTGAAAAGAAGCGTACAACAGTGTTGAAAGTCTTTATGAGAAATGTGCCCTAACCGTAACCCTCAAGACAAGAAACTAAACAACACTTAAAGTCTCTAATGTTATTTTTTATGGATAATGACATTCAAAAATATTTTCCACCAAATTTATCCCAAAGATTATCCTTAAAAAAAATTCTAATTCAGCCTCATGTGCAACAATACCCAGCCCTACTTGTACTGCTCTGTGTGTGTGTGTGTGTGTGTGTGTGTGTGTGTGTGTGTGTGTGTGTGTGTGTGTGTGTGTGTGTGTGTGTGGTGTGTGTGTGTGTGTGTGTTGTGTGTGTGTGTGTGTGTTTGATGGGTGGGTGGGACACAAACACCAAGAACAAACCATTTTAACGGCGATTTGATTTGTAGAACTGGAAGAAATCGGCCCCAGTTCGAAGCTGTTATGGAATCTTTTTTAGGACAAGCGACTTCAGATTTGGGCAATCTCTGGTAACTTTTCAAAATATTCAATATCTGCATTCTCCACGCCTCGACAAAACACCTGGAGCTGCAGCGAGAAAGAGAGGAGGACCCGGAACCAGCACCCAAAACAAGCTTTAATTCACCTTTTCTTGCAAGAAATCTGATTTTAACATCATTAGTTTGAACTCTCTTTCACACCAGAACAGATTGACTTTATATATTAACAGAAATGAAGAAGAGGACGCCTTGAAATCAGGAAAAGCAGGAGAAACAGGTGGTACTGACTAACACTTTCTATTCACAGCTGGAATATATTAGTCCATTGTGAGTATGGGACTATAAGCTTTTGAATAAATGTAGTAACGCATGAATAATGTGGCTCTGAACTCAGGATTTTCAGTCTTTCTTCTGGGATGGTTTTCTGCTGATAATAACGTGGTTGTAGTTAAAGAGGCGAGGGTCCGGAGGTTGTTGTCAGCATCGTGACGTCTGTTTGTCCGTCTTCACCCAGGGAGATAGAGAACAGGATCGAGGCCGACCACCCCGTGGTGAGTGGCTTCAATTCATCTTCACATTACACTTCATTCAGCTTTTATACTCACAGACTTACAACACAACTACGAAGATATTACAAATACTATAATACTATATTAAAGATTTTGATGCAGTCGAGACGCCCTATCATGACTTTGCAGAATTAAGGAAGCTTTCTCAACAAGGGACAGAGCTGCAGTATCTTTTTATTTAACAGCTTTAGTTTTCTGTTTTCAATTTATTCAAAGCAACAAGCTCCCCATTTGCTTTACCTTCCAATAAGATCACGTCGTGTTTTTATTGGAAAAATACAAAACATGTATATATCATTAATACTAATAATTAGTTGAAACAATAACAATAAATACAAAAATAATAAGATAAGACATATAAAACCAAGAGGTGTTGTAAAAAGTTATTTTCCAGTAGTCCAAAAATTCTTCATACAAATAAATATGAGATTTAGAAAATCTAAAATTGTCCCAAAAAGAGCCTTATAAGTATTCAAATGTGATGAAATGATAAACAATACAGACTGACTCTCTCTCTCTCTCTCTCTACCTCTCTCTCTCTCTCTCTCTCTCTCTCTCTATCTCTCTCTCTCTCTCTCTCTCTCTCTCTCTCTGTCTCTCTGTCTCTCTCTCTCTCTCTCTCTCTCTCTCTCTCTCTGTCTCTCTCTCTCTCTCTCAGCCGGCCCCAGCCTCAGCGGGTGAGGAGAGCGAGGAGGACCAGCAGTTCAGGACCATCTTTCAGGAGATCGCCGGGGATGTGAGTACATTGCAGTACTAGTATAGAGAGAACCAAATATGTAAAGCACTTTTTTGTTAATGTATTTGCTGCATATGAGGAATAAAACAAAATCCTCTGTCGTACCATATTGAATTGTATCATTATTTTTGCATCGTGTTGAATCGCATCGTATCGCCCCGTATCGCATAATGTTGAATCGAATCGTATCGAACTGTATCGCAACAGGGGTGAATCGTATCGTATCGCATCGCCTGGTGTTTCAAAGGTATCGTTAATGTTTCGTATCGTTGGCAACGTATGGAGATGCGCATCGTATCGGCCTCAGTGATGGAGATGCACATCCCTAGAGTTACAACAAATTACAACGAGTTACAGGAAGTACAGGAAGACATGTCGTTTTAGTTAACAATCTAGCCTGTCATTAGTATTTTGACACCTTGCAGCTTCACTTCTCAGAGTCATGTTTTAATGTCTCTCTCCTCTCCTGTCTCCCTCTCCTCTCTGGTCTCTCTCACAGGAGAGAGAAATCTCCGCCAGCGAGCTGAAGAACGTCCTCAACAGAGTCATCACCAGATCGTGAGTCAGACCATAAATATAACTACACTTTATCGCAGACTTTATAACATGTGAACACTTTCCTTACATTTATTTTAACTTATTGTTTGTCAAAGGGAGATCAAATCTTACATACAACCAAAAGTATTATAGTTTTATAGTTTCAAATCAACTTCCTGCAGATATTATTCTCTCGTTTTTTTTATTGTGGTGAAGATACATAATATATTCCTTTATTTTCCTGCAGATATGTCATGTTTTTATGTATTATTCTGCAGATACATCATGCTTTGTTGTATTGTGTGTTGCAGATAAGGACCTGAACACGGAGGGCTTCAGTCTGGAGAGCTGCAGGAGCATGATAGCTCTGATGGACGTATCCTTTGTATCGAGAGCATCGGGCTGCTGGTCTGCTGCACACTCAGGGCCTCACTTCACCTCACTAACAACACACACACACACACACACACACACACACCACCACACACACACACACACACACACACACACACACACACACACACACACACACACACACACACACACACACACACACACACACACACACACACACACACACATGGAGGTTGCCATGCAAAAGAAAACATGTAATAATTTCCTCTCAGTGGACATTTTTAATTATATTAGTTTCTAGAATAGATATAGATATAATATGAAGACGGTTGTTTTTGTTTTAAAGGTCCCCTATTACACTGTTTTTCATCAATATATTATAGGTCTCAGATATATACAAAACATGTCTCTGAAGTGTTTGGCTCCAAACACCAAACAGATCATTGCAGCGTCCCATAATCCCCTCTGTTTCAGCCCTGTTTCCAAAGTGCTGATTCTCTGTCTGTTACTTTAGATGAAAATAAGGAGCCCCTCCCCACGCCCCTCTGAGAGATATTTGGTTAAAAATAACTCAATGGTGCTCTAGGAGGAGATTCAGGTGATAAGGTGGGGGGGTTACCTTGGTTGGTGATTGGCTAATGGCTAACAAGCCAAAACATCGTGATGACATCATAAAGTGGCCAAAATCTGATCAGCTCATTTTCAGACAGGTTTTTATATAAAAGGATCAGGACAAAAAGAGAGAGAATCTTTGTTCCTGAAACTTTCAGAGTCTCTTTACACAGAGGAGACACATGTTGATGTAGAAGAGACATGAAGAAGTGGATTAGCACAATAGGTGACCTTTAATAAATATACAAAATACACGTGTTGGTCTTAACCTGCGGTGTGCAGATGGACGGGACAGGAAGACTCAACCTGCAGGAGTTCAGACATCTGTGGAACAAAATCAAACAGTGGCAGGTGGGAATTAAAAACAGCAGCTTCACTTTTATATATTTGTACGCCTTACATTAAGTATGAAGTACAATTAAATGGATAATACTGCTTATGTGCAATATATATGTTTACCGTAAATAGCTCTGCCTTTTATACTTTCACCAAGACGCTATATCGCTTTTAAACTGTGTATTTTATAAAAATCTTTAATATTGTTTTTGCTGTAACAATCGTACATTTCCCCTCCTGTGGATCCAATAAGGGTATTCTGAAATAGCCAAGTAAAAGGTATATGTATGTCTCATCAGTACTCCAATACATTTACTTATATTCCTCTGCTGGTTTAAACTATAGTGTTTTTATTTCACTATAACGACATGAAATGTTATATTTTGTGTGTCTTCCAGGGAATCTTTAAGCACTATAACGCCGATCAGTTCGGCAGCATCAACAGTTACGAGATGAGGAACGCTGTCAACGATGCAGGTAACAAATCATTACTTTATCATATCAGTTCATCCACTTTACAAAAACACTGATTTACTTAAAAAAATGCAACATATAATTTGAGTTTTTTCTGCCCAGGTGAAGAGATATCTGTGTATTGACTCTGGTGCGCTTTGATTGCACTGAATGGATGGATGTAATGATGATGAAAATAAATATATTAAAAAAATACCCCGTAGCATTTAGCATTGTAAACACAATTGCATTTAAAGGGGACCTATCATGCAAAATGCACTTTTTGATGTCTTTTATACATAAATATGTGTCCCCGGTGTGTCTGGGAACTCACGCAGCGTCAGAAAATAAAACCCTCTCTCTTTTCCTCCGTACCCAAATCTCTAAAAACGGGGCTACAACGGAGCTGATCCAGATTTGTGTCCGATATGACGTAATATCGGAAATGTAGGCTGGCTTTACACCCACGGCAGTATCAGAAACATTGCTATCAGAAACAATGCCCGACTGTTTTGGATGTAATATGGTCGGTGTTTACATTAGCATCGCACTCACACTCAACACTCAGAGCTAACCTGTACTGGAGAGCATGTGTGTGAAGAAGCAGGAAATAAAAAGGAACTCACCTTGTGGTATAACCGGCAAGAGAGAAAGCCTTTGAGCTCCATACTGTTTCAGAAATAATCCTTGATAATCCATGATATGGCGTTTCATCACCGCAGTATTTAGTTTAGACAGTAGCTGCCGGGTCCCGCATGAGCTCAGCCCCCCCCTTTTTTATTTTTTATCAAATTTATTTTTTTAAGGCTTTATACCCCAAAATCAGCACTTTTGAAACAGGAAGTGAAATAGAGGGATATGAGGCATGGCTAGAATGGGTGATCTGTTTGTATTTTGAGCAAAACACTTCATAGACATGTTTTTTATATATTTTTATATATCTGAGACCTATGCTATTGCCTAAAAATAGCATGATAGGTGACCTTTAATTGTCCATGTAATACATTATATCAGTTTTATAGCAGTGGGGGCATTTTTGTCATCCAGGATAACGAGTAGATGGTTTAATTATTATCACTTATTTTGATCTGACACAAAAATGCATCAAAATAAATGTTGATGCTCGTTGACATTGAAAATACTCCATACAAAACAGCTGTGACATTTAAAGGGTTAAATCCAAATGTTGAAGTTCTGATCAGGACTGAAGTGAAATTAAGTTTGGTTTTATCACAGCTTTGAAAGATTAACTATGAATCTGGAAAGACACGTTTTAAAAAAAAGGCAGATTTCTCAAAACCTCAGCAAGTAAATCCAAAAATATAAACAACAACATAGTTAAAGGTGTTTCTGTACATTTGATGAACTGAGTTGTTGTTATTTACCATATTTATTATTGATTTAACAATTAAATGGTACTTATGTAAATCATATTTTTTTTATTAAAAGTGGACCTATCATGCTATATTATAATAATATAGTGTAGGACCATACCTATATAAGGCATATTTATACTTTTTTTTTTTCAAAATACCAAACAGATCATGCATTTTAGCCATGCCTCATTTCGCTCAATTTGAAATTGTTTAGTTCTGTTTTTGCAAGGGCTGATTCTGTGAGAACAGCACCACCTACAGGCCTGGCATATGTACTACAGCGTCTCCAGCGCTTTCGAACGGCAATGGCCGTGGCTGTCTCCTCCTGATTGGTGGAGTTGGCCCAATAGCTGTAGCGCCACCGTCCTGACGTCAGGACAGTGTTCAAATCTGGATCAGTTTTTATCAGATCCGTTGCAGCCCCTTTTTTAGAGATTTGGGTATGGAGGAAAATAGAGAGGGTTGTGTTTTCTGACACCTGGTGAGTTCCCTGGAACACCGGGGACACATATTCATGTAGAAAAGACGTACATAGGTCCCCTTTAAAGTTGTTGTTATTTACAATATCTATTATTATACCACTAGAAAAAAAAATACTGAATGGTTTGAGGATTTGAAAAAGCTGCTAAAAAGTAGATTTTTATGCTCTATTTTTTATTTGTACCAGCAAAGCGTAAACCTGACACATGAAATATTATAAAATGCTCCATGACAGCAGTGAATATATCAGTCATGGACTTATTAACCTTTAAGCTAATTAACTTAACATTTAGCTGCATGCTACACTTAGAAACCTGATATTTAATATTTAATGTAATCTGTGTTGTTGGGATGATTGTTGACGTGTGCACATGAGCTCACCCCCCTAATGTTCTCTTCACTGTACAGTCATGTGTCTTGTGTCCCGCTCAGGCTTCCGTCTCAACAACCAGCTGTATGACATCATCACCATGCGCTACGCCAACGAGAACATGAACATCGACTTCGACAGTTTCATCAGCTGTCTGGTGCGACTCGAGGCCATGTTCAGTGAGTCGCTGCTGCACCAACTCCATCACTGACACACGTGGGGGCGTTCCAATATGCACACCAACACACTATGAAGCATGCCAGAAATACAAAAGGCCAAAAGTGCCAGGATATCCAAATGTCTCTGGTCACATTTTGCCGTTTTCATGGCACATTCACATTCATACCTCTTCTGGCTACTCTGACCCACATTCTTTAAATAGAGAATATATACAGAGCAAGTATGTCCCAATTGTATGCATACTGTATGCAACAGTACACACTTAGTTATGGAAGCCATAGTATGTACTAAAGGTATTTGTATCTGAATCTGTATATATTTGTTGCAACAGCTTAAGAAAGACCGCCTGATTGGGTTATATAAATACAAATTGAACGATTTATTTGATTGAATGTGTGGCAGTACAAGCTCCCCCCCGATCTCATCTGATGAGGGGAGTTGATACATCTCTCCCTCATCAAAAGAGAAAGACAATACCTACCGAACATTACTGGACTGCCACTGAAGAAAGGTGTTATATTGTATTGCTCTGAGCATTTAAACAACAAGTCACAGTGTTAGTGTGACGACAAAGGAAACACTTTGAAGCTTCTTGACCATAATCATCCTCTTGTGAGAAAAAATAAGTACAATTTATGTGATATATACAGCCGTATCAATAACTTACTGTAACTGTAAATATTGTTGTATTCTTGTTCAGGGTTTTTGGATGAGGTGGATCACACTTTTCTTGTTGTTGTTTTGTGTCTCCAGGGGCGTTCCAGGCCTTCGATCAGGACGGAGACGGTACCATTAGACTCAGTGTCCTGGAGGTGAGATTTAAACTCTGATAAACTGTGAATATTACCACCTGTGTCTCAGTACAAGTGCATTTAGATAAAGCATCGACCTGCAGCAGTATCTGTGGAATGAGGTTTGCATTGAGTCAACTAAGGATCGCCTGCTGGGAGAGTCTGCCTCCTTTGAGCCTAGAGAAAGTCTCCACACTCACCTGCAGAGTGATCTGAATAACCTCTGATTAACTCAGGGGGAGAGTGACATGCAGTTTCAAATCAATTGGGGAAAGTAGAATGGAAAGAAGGACATAAGAATGACAGACTACAACGATCAAAGTACATACAATTTGAATTTGCCGTGTATAATAGCAATACCACAGGGAGGTAAATTCTATACACTCTTAAACTTTAAACAAAGATATGTAAAAATCTAATCCTAGGAAAACTCACATGACATGCATTCAAAGGACTTCCACACATATCACCCTGTTTTTAATCACTTATTTTTCTAATAAAACCATAGTTATGTAAGTTTGATAAGCCACATTTTATAATTAATGTTCCTATTTTTAATATCAACTTCATTTTGTTGACAAAAAATCGTGAAAATGTGTTTGAAACACAGCAGAAATGATGGTTGTACAGCTTGACCGCTGCAGGAAGGGAGGACATGTTCATAATAAGTGAATTCATATTGTATTTCCCCTCTTCTTCCTCAGTGGCTCCAGCTGACCATGTACGCCTGAAGAGGCTCCTCCTCCTCCAGGTGAGATCCACGAGGACCAGACCTGCCGCCTTTACCTCAAACTCAGTGTGCCGTCGTTAGCTCTCATCATCCTCACCTTCAGACCGAACCCCCCCCCCCAAATCTGCTCTTCCTCTCCAGAAATGTCCACCATGCTTCACTCTTCATAGCGCCTCTGTGTAGGTCTCAGAACCTTTATTTCTCTAAATCCTGTCAATCAGTCTCTCCTTTTCAGCCATCTTTATTTTATTTAAAAAGCAACACTTGTTCAGTATTCTCTCTCAGGCATCAGACACACACAACCTCTTTTCTCTGTCACAGTGACTCCTACTTCTTCTACTGTTTTAAAATGAGTAGCATACTTCCTGTATTCATTCACGGCTCTCTGGTGGACGGTGAATAAACACTCAAATCACTCCGAAAAACTGTTATATTTCTGGGGAATAAAACACTCACAACACCCTGTTTTCATCCCATTGCATCCCACGTGTTTTTGTGGATACATTCTCAAGAATCGTCACATTGGATGGACAAACTCAGGCTCTTTTTGTTCATCTCAGCTCCAGAAAACAGGACATATAAACCCCCCCTTATCATGATTAAATGTGGAGCTGATGATTTTTCATTAAAGGTTAAAATATGGATTTGAAAGCGTATGGCTAAAGGGTTGGACTGCTGCTTTTTTGTGATTTTTTTTCCTTATTATTAAGGCTTTGGTCAAATGAGTGTACTGCATTTTTAACCATTTTAACCAAATAAATACAATTAATGTGTAGTTATTGCGTCGCTGGTACAGTTGATGAGAAAGTGTGGTGTGTATTATGTAAGAAAAAGACACGGAGATTTGTTTTATGATGTTGCACAATTTTTTATTATTATAATTATTATTATTAACATTGCACTTGCTTAAAAAAGTATCTCTTCAAAACTTTAATAACAACTGAAAAACTTGAAGAAACTCAGGATTGCCGGGTCAGAGGGGAAGTGCACGCTTTCTATCGGATATTAAACAAAAAAAAACGAGGCGAGTTTGGAAAATGGCGGCTGTGAGAACACCAAAAAGAGCATCAGCTGGGCTTTTTTTAAACGGGTTAAAATTAGTTTTAGGGTGAGTATGGCATGGGAGATGAATCCTAATTCTTTCCGTCAAACACCTCCTCGAAACTTCCTTCACCTCCACACTTCATTAGAAAACTCTCTTCACTGTGGAAAATAACACGCCTGCTCCATGCTACGAATATATTAAATAAATTCCTTCAAAGATAAAGATTGGGTCGTAAAAACAGAACGATACTCAGAACACTCACTCAGGTTCTGCAGACAAAGGAAAAACACTCTGTCCGCACTTAAACATGTAGGAACACACACACACACACACACACACGCGCACACACAGTCTTGGCTCTGTTTTCACGGCAAATTTTTCAAATGGCAACTTCAGGCCAAATCACACAACACTGCACCAAAATCCCTCAACGCCTTTTATCACCGAGCAAAACTAAAAACTAAAAAAAGGGAAAGTAATCCGTACGGTCGAGGGTCAGGGCCACGGGAGAATTTAGTTTTTGGTTTGAGAATTCTTAGAATAAAGTCGGAATTCTGAGATTAAAATCGGAATATTTTTAAATTAAAATCAGAATTTTTAAATTAACGTCTGAATTAAACAGCCATCATTCTGAGAAAAAAAGTCAACATTTTTAGACTAAAGTCGGAAATCTGAGAAAACATTCTGCAATCTCGGAATTCTGACTTTCCAACTTTAATCTCAGATCCCCCAAAAAAATATATTCATGTCGCCCTCAACCTCTTCCGTAAACCCCAAGCAAAACGTTCAAAATTATTCCCTGAAAAAAAAAGGTATTCTTGTCACTTCAAGGACACTCCGTCAAGGACACAGACAATTCTAAAAACGTGAAAACTTTTAATCACTTGTCATAAAAAGTGAAAAATGGCAACTTGAGAAAAAAGAAAATAAACGTTGCTCGACATGACAAATCACTACAACAATAAAAACATCTCTGAGCCCATGCCACGAAGAAGTCGACAAACTGTTTCAACATAAAAGCGCGACACACCCCCCCCCCCTTAAACACACCGGCAACACACTGGAGTTTCTTCAATTAAAAAAGGGTCTTATATTTGGTCAGTGGAACAGGAACTGCTGGCAGGAACAGCCCCTCGCTCAGATAGTTTTATGGTTGGATTCCAACACCGAACATAAAGGATGGAGTCGTCGTTAGAGGAGAGTGCCCCCCCAATATGGGAGGTTAACAGGCGGGGGAGGCGGGACAAAGGGCAGGACTTAAGGCTCCACTTCAGTCTCCTCCTCGGCGTGTTTCTGCATGTGGAGCTGCAACACCTGCAAAATAAATACAATACAAATTCAATAAATTAGAAAAAAATCACCAGGTGTTGCAGAGCGATTTGAAGAGGTAAGATACATTTAAAAATATTTATTTATATAGATATACAGCTCTGTAAAGAATTAAAACTTTTTATACTTCTACTCTATTTATAGTGTGTTTGAGTAAATATACATTTTGTTTTATTCTCTAAACAACCTACAAGTTTTCAAAATTTAAAAAACAAATTAGCGAATTTTATTTATTTATATATATCAGTGTGTTCAGACCTTGTATGATGCAAATAAAACAACACATTTTGAGGAATAACAGCTTTCATGTGCGTGTTGGCATCCTCTCCACCAGGTATGCATATAATATAGGTATAAGGTATAAAATATCAGTTATGCATACTTCAGAAAATAATAAAACTATTATTTATTCATTAAAAAGGCAAATATAAGTTGATAAAGCACATTTTATATTGCCATTTACAGTGCAATTGTCTGAAAATAAGAAAAATGTGTTCACAAAAATGTTTTAAATGAATCAAAAACATACATTTGATGTTTAAAAAAAAGCAGCGTAAGAGCTGTAATGTCCCTGTTTCTCATCAAATTGCCAATGAAACTTATTGAAAAGCTACTCCTCTCCTCTACGTACCAAATAGACATGATAACGGTGTGTTTTCTACCTGCTTGGAGCTGGTGCGGGCGCAGAAAAACTCGTCACATTTCTTCCAGCGGCACTTCAGGCTCTGAGAGGAAGAGGAGCTGTGGTCGCTGATCAGGTGCTGCTGAAGGTGCTCCATCAGCCCGAACACCAGGGAGCAGCCGTGCCACTGCACACACACACACACACACACACACACACACACACACACACACACACACACACACACACACACTTTATTATAACAACAGAAACAGAGTGAAAGACATACAGCATTTAAGAAAATGTCCAAGGCGGAGATGTGGAGGAAAATGCAGATGTGCATTAGGCGCTTTCACACCGGAGCACTTTTCCCAGTATAGTTCAGAAAATGTGCATTCACACCAAAAAAATCCGGAACTAGAACTTAGTTCACGAGAACCTTTCCACCCCCTTTTCAGTCCCTGCTAGAGAGCAGGTACTTTCCTGGGAGAAAAAGGTTCCCATTTCTGATTGGCTGGGCGGATTGCAAACCACGCCCCGTAAAACTCCCAAAAAGTTTTGTGCCATTTTATTTGCTCGCATTAGCATTATTAGCATTAGCATTAGCCCAGCGCACCAACGGAGAGAGACTAACTTATGGCAACACAAAAGAAAACATGGGAGCAGTGGAGATGAGGAGGTGTCGGCGTTCTGGCGATTTACTCGGAAGGCTTCAGTAGAAGCTGCTGGGAGTCCCAGCAGCTTCTACTGAAGCCAGTCCCCAACTCCGGGGACTTCCGGCCGGGGACTTCGGGTGGCAGTATACGCCGTGAAGTTGTTTGCTGCCTGCCAGTAAACCCAAAGCAGAAGAAGACGAAGTGACGTCAGCGGCTTCATTTGCCTAATCCTCCCTCAGGGAACTTATTCCGGTGTGAACAAGATCTGCTCTTTAGTTCATCAGAGTTCTGATGAACTAAGTTCTCATGAACTAAGTACGGCAAAGTACTTGGTGTGAAAGCGCCTATTGACACTGAAAAGAAACACGGTACATAACTTCACTCTCAAACAAATGTGTGTAACTTTCTACGTTGAGCTTTTATTTTGTTATATTAGTTCTCAGGGCTGTTGCGTTACGGTTGCATCTTTTGTCATTTGTTTCTGGAGAGTGAGATGATAGGATGGGGATGTAAAGGTATGCAAACACGGGAAGGTCTTAACGTTGGTTAAGGAGGGTAAATAACTAATAATAGCTCAAGAGGATCATCTCTTCTTGTCTGCTGGTTTATGCAAGACGTTATAAAGAAAGACATATTTCTCTAATTGGAGCAAGGGATAAAGAAACTCAAAGGCCATCACAATGTATTCATACTGTCAGATATAGAAAGCAGACAGAGCGTAAAAAAGTTACCCCAAACTGAAAAGGAAGACAGAGAAAATCTAAAGTAAAACAGGATATTGTGTCTCTGTTCAACAGGTGAGGTCAAGGAAATAAGAAAGATGTTCTGTAATAAATTCAACTGAGTTATTTCAGATATCTTTTTTAAACAATGCTAGTAGAAAGATGTCCCTCCTCTTACCCCGCAGCGGTAGTTCTGCATCAGGTTCAGCTTCACCGCCTGCACGCTGCCATCGTAACAACCTGTGTAGATCTGACACACAAAACACATACATGAAGATATGATGGTGTATATCAGTATGTAGTGTCTCTACTTTAAAGAGTCCTCTCCTGCTGATGTTCAGGTGTATATCAGTATGTAGTGTCTCTACTTTAAAGAGTCCTCTCCTGCTGATGTTCAGGTGTATATCAGTATGTAGTGTCTCTACTTTAAAGAGTCCTCTCCTGCTGATGTTCAGGTGTATATCAGTATGTAGTGTCTCTACTTTAAAGAGTCCTCTCCTGCTGATGTTCAGGTGTATATCAGTATGTAGTGTCTCTACTTTAAAGAGTCCTCTCCTGCTGATGTTCAGGTGTATATCAGTATGTAGTGTCTCTACTTTAAAGAGTCCTCTCCTGCTGATGTTCAGGTGTATATCAGTATGTAGTGTCTCTACTTTAAAGAGGTCCTCTTCCTGCTGATGTTCAGGTGTATATCAGTATGTAGTGGTCTCTACTTTAAAAGAGTCCTCTCCTGCTGATGTGCAGGTGTATATCAGTATGTAGAGTCTCTACTTTAAAGAGTCCTCTCCTGCTGATGTTCAGGGGTGTATTCAGTATGTAGTGTCTCTACTTTAAAGAGTCCTCTCCTGCTGATGTTCAGGTGTATATCAGTATGGTAGTGTCTCCTACTTTAAAGAGTCCTCTCCTACTGATGTTCAGGTGTATATCAGTATGTAGTGTCTCTACTTTAAAGAGTCCTCTCCTGCTGATGTTTCAGGTGTATATCAGTATGTAGTGTCTCTACTTTAAAGAGTCCTCTCCTGCTGATGTTCAGGTGTATATCAGTATGCAGTGGTCTCTACTTTAAAGAGTCCTCTCCTGCTGATGTTCAGGTGTATATCAGTATGTAGTGTCTCTACTTTAAAGAGTCCTCTCCTGCTGATGTTCAGGTGTATATCAGTATGTAGTGTCTCTACTTTAAAGAGTCCTCTCCTGCTGATGTTCAGGTGTATATCAGTATGTAGTGTCTCTACTTTAAAGAGTCCTCTCCTGCTGATGTTCAGGTGTATATCAGTATGTAGTGTCTCTACTTTAAAGAGTCCTCTCCTGCTGATGTTCAGGTGTATATCAGTATGTAGTGTCTCTACTTTAAAGAGTCCTCTCCTGCTGATGTTCAGGGTGTATATCAGAATGTAGTGTCTCTACTTTAAAGAGTCCTCTCCTGCTAATGTTCAGGTGTATATCAGTATGTAGTGTCTCTACTTTAAAGAGTCCTCTCCTGCTGATGTTCAGGTGTATATCAGTATGTAGTGTCTCTACTTTAAAGAGTCCTCTCCTGCTGATGTTCAGGTGTATATCAGAATGTAGTGTCTCTACTTTAAAGAGTCCTCTCCTGCTAATGTTCAGGTGTATATCAGTATGTAGTGTCTCTACTTTAAAGAGTCCTCTCCTGCTGATGTTCAGGTGTATATCAGTATGTAGTGTCTCATGTTTTTATTAAGTTACGGAGATTGTCTTTTTAGGTTTTCTTTGATTTACAATGGTTACATTCACTCCCACAATAATGACCCAATCGGCATGTCATACATTCTATGTCACGTCTCATTTAAAGAGCCAATTAAATACATGAATTAGAAGCAGGGTTAAGGGTGTCTAAGGAGTTTATTTAATACTTAGATCCATGTTTAATTCCCCAGTTTACCTTGCATATAGCTAAAGGGATACTCACCATGTTCTTGTGGATAGACATACACATCACCATGTCCTTGTGTCCTCCGTAAACCTGCAGCTGCTCGTGAGACTGTGACAGAAACACAGGTTAAAGAGTACATTCAGAGAGTATTTTAAAGACAAATAATGTGATTTCTAGAGTGATGTGTTGAGGGTGCAGACCTGCAGATCGTAGACTCGGACCAGTTTGTCCAGACAGGCGGTCACCATCACCTTCCCGAGGACGGACACCACGGTAACAGCGTGACTGTGACCCTTATACACCCGCACCAGCTCTCCAGTCTGCAGGGAATGAACCGTCATTAATACTCAAATGCATTCTGCAAATCACTTCTCTTACACACATTATTGATGACTCACATGGATGTTGTGAGCGTAGACACACTGATCACTGGATCCACTGAACACCAGATCATTCACCACCTGAGAGAGAGAGGCAAGGAGGAGTTAGAAGAGAAAAAATACAGAACAGAAAGCATTAAGAACTGGCGAGTAATTATGTGAAGAAAGGGGTAAGGCAAGTCTGAAGAGGAGGGTTTGAGGGCTTGTTTGAAGGATGATTGATATTGAGACTATGATATGATCCACTTGGCCCTGGTTAGAGTCTTACCTTCATGCAGAGCACGGTCTTGGTGTGGCCCTCCAGAGTTCTCAGCAGGAGGCCGCTCTTAGCGTCCCTCACGCTGATGGTGTTGTCGTAGGATCCGACCAATAGGATCCTCCTCGCTCCTTCCTGAGAGGAGGCCATGCAGCTCACCCCCCGAGGACCGTGGCACTCAAACACATCCATCTGCTTATTGGTCTGAACAAACAACAACAAGATTAGTTAGTTAGTTAGTTAGTTAGGGGCTGGGTCATGTTTCAACCAAAGCTAGCTAAATGCATTTTCTGACATGCATCAAGTAGAAAACAACCATTGTTCTGTGACGGTTCATATGAAGTCTTCATCGATTTAACTTAAGTTACCGCTTGGTATTACAATTCTTTTCAATGTATAACAATAAAAAACGTTACTACAGAATAACATTTCAGTCTCAGTTTCCGATGTTTATCGCCACCACTTAAAAATAAGTCATGACATTTATTTATTTTTTCTGCAACTACCTGTTTTTATATTGCACTGTCTCTCACCTTGAGCTTAAAGGTCACCACGGTGCCGTTTGCCAGACCGGCGTACAGCGTTTTCCATCGACTGTGGAGGCAGAGGACTCGGTCTGAGAGAGGGAACTGCTGCTCCAACTCCCGCGTCTGAGGACCAGGAAAAGGAAATTCACTTAAAACAATAACAGGATCGATGTGCTTTAAGGTGAGTACAGTACAACATATATGGTGCCTATAATAAAAGATTATCATTTTTTTCACAATTGTATGATTTCAATCTTTAATTTCCTACATTCTCTAAAAAACTAAGGTCACAAAGAAATCTGAAAATGTGTGACTTTGGAGCTCATAGGTGAGTTTCTTCTTCTCGACTATCATTCATTCATATTTCACCTACAAATACCTTCATCTTTGTAGTTCATTCAACCAACCATATCAATCAGAGAACATTTGGTTGATTATTGGAGTACGAGGGACAAAGTTACGTGTGTGTTCACCTTCAGGTTGTAGCAGCAGATGGTCTGGTCACTGGACCCGGAGTAGAGGCGACGGTAGAGGGTCGGAGCTGCAGAGACCAGCAGGCAGCTCACCTTGGAGCTGTGACCCTCAAACACTCCCACACACTTACGACTCTGCAAAACACAGGGAGAACCAGAAATTAGACATGTTTTCAATATAAAAAGTTTCTCTAAAACAAAATACTTATTTGGGATGTTGAGTGTAGCTGCGAGGAAAGCAATCACAAAGAAATGGCTCAAACCAAACAGCCCATCTATAGATGATTGGTACGATATCATTTATGAAATCTTTGCAATGGAAAGAATAACCTTCTCTATGAGGCTCCAGGAACTTCCATCTGAGAACATTTGGGAGAAATGGAAAGTGTACATTACGCCCTTCTTTTGTTGAACTGTTTGAATCTTTTATTTAAGGATCTATACTGTCAATGTTTTATATTGAAAAGAAAACACCCCGTGTTCTTGTGTGCTTATTGTTGTTGTTTTGTTAAGAAAAAGAAAAAAGACGGACCACTCTGTAAAACTATTTAACTACATATGTATACGTACACTGAAGTTTAAATGTGATCCAAAACAAACTAAAACATTTAAAGGGGACCTACCATGCAAAATGCACTTTTTGATGTCTTTTATACATAAACATGTGTCCCCGGTGTGTCGGGGAACTCACGCAGCGTCAGAAAATAAAACCCTCTCTCTTTTCCTCCGTACCCAAATCTCTAAAAACGGGGCTACAACGGAGCTGATCCAGATTTGTGTCTGATATGACGTAATATCTGAAATGTGGACCCACGGCCCTATCAGAAACGTCGCTATCAGAAACAATGCCCGACTGTTTTGGACGTAATATGGTCGGTGTTTACATTAGCATCGCTAACACTCAGAGCTAACCTGTACTGGAGAGCATGTGTGTGAAGAAGCAGGAAATAAAAAGGAACTCACCTTGTGGTATAACCGGCAAGAGAGAAAGCCTTTGAGCTCCATACTGTTTCAGAAATAATCCTTGATAATCCATGATATGGCGTTTCATCACGGCAGTATTTAGTTTAGACAGTAGCTGCCGGGTCCCACATGAGCTCAGACCCCTCCTTTTTATTTTGTAAAGCTTTATACCCCAAATCATCACTTTTGACACAGGAAGTGAAATAGAGGGATATGAGCAGGGGTGCACATAACTGGTACGCAGGTACGCATGCGCGGCAACAATCTGAAATGCGTAACGTCACTTGTGTCACAAAGCGCCTTTGCGTACCTGATAGGTCATCAAAACAAAACACATATTTCGCCTACACATGTTTCTTGTCAACACTCAGTGGAGTAAATTATTAGACATGTCCAAAAAAAACAAAGACATTAAGCAGCCACTTTGCCGTTTCGCTCCCTGCTAAAATCTTCAGACTTTCTATGACTGATTGAACTGGGTGCTGGCCGTGCCGCGCAGGACATAACCGACGGACCTGTGAAGCTTCACAGGAGGCAGAGGCTTAGATCACTGGACGACAGAGTTGGTCGCCGTGTGCACAGACGGAGCTGCTGTTAACGTCGGTGTGTACAACAGAATTGTACCAAAACTACGTCAACTGGCTGCGGTGGGAGACTCCCCTGTGCACATTCTGTGCCCCGCGCACACACTGGAGAACTGCGCAAAATCAGCTGATCACAACGTTCACGCTCTGTGGTCAAGCTGCTGCAGTTTTATTTACAACAAAGTGGAGTAAAACACACAGCTGCAAACTTACTCAGGCTGTTAATGGAAGAGTTTGAAATCAGACAGAGGTGGAAGAAGTGTTACTCAAGTAAAATTAGAAAAGTATTATCATCAAAATCTAGTTAAAGTAGCGACAGTAAAAGTAGTCATTTTGCAGATTGGTCCATTTCATAATAATGTATATGATATGTTTTATAATTATTGATCATTAAAGTGTTTAAAAATTTGTTTGAATAACTTTGTATACTGCAGGGTAGCTTGTGGATTTACTCCAGGTGGAACTAAAGTCTGATTTAACACTTGATTATATTTCACATCATTCATCCACATCTGTAAAGTAACTAAAGGTATTAAATAAATGTAGTGGAAGAAAAGTACATGATTTACCTCTGAACTGTAGTGGAGTAGAAGTACAAAGTAGCATAAAATAGAAATACTCAAGTAAACTACAAGTATCTTAAATTGTACCTAAGTACAGTACTTGAATAAGTGTACTTTGTTACTTCCCACCTCTGAAATCAGATATGACTTCTTCAAGTCATGTGATAATTTCTTAGTATTTGATCCTTCAACTTGGCCTCAGGAAATGCAAGGATTTCACAGTTTTGGCAACAAGTTTTGGAGAAAGCAAATCGGAGGCTTACAAAGAGACAGGGAGGTGCATCTTCATCATCTTCATCATCTAGCATGCAAGAAGTGTAAATAGAGGACAGTGAAGGAGACACTGAGGAGGACAGTGAGGAAGACTGCACTTATTAACACCACGCTTCATGTGGGGTGAGTACCAAACGCTGTCTCCTGGTACTCATCTGAGTAACTCACTCAAAAAGTTATGTGCACACCTGGATATGAGGCATGGCTAGAATGGGTGATCTGTTTGGTATTTTGAGCAAAACACTTCATAGACATGTTTTTGATATATTTTTATATATCTGAGACCTATGCTATTGCCTAAAAATAGCATGATAGGTGCACTTTAAGATAAATAAATAAAATGTTTCTCTTATGGTTTTCTAATTTAACTTTGAATGTCTGTTGTCGTATTTTAAGAAGCAACACTCTGGTTTTGAAAGATGAATTATCAGACACAATAAGGAAGTCTTATTTTATTCTATTTGTGAAAGACGAAACAGAATGTTGTGAGTTTTGGAAACTATTACCGCTCTCTTTTCATAATGAATGTTGAATTGTGCGTTAATATCACTCTGGAGATTCTACTAACAGTACAAAACTAAATTATATTTTGTTGGGTTGTTCGTCACTTGCACTTTAGCATTACCAGTACCAACAAAAGGAAAGCAGCTGTGCAACATTCAAAAACGTTTCAAAAACAGATTTCAACTGTTCAGTAAAACCCTGAAACTCTTCTCTGTGGTTGCGTTCACAGACAGTAGGATTAAACAGCGTTGTGTGACCCACCCTGAGGTTGAAGGCTCTGACGGTGCGGTCTCCGGAGCAGGTGTACAGCAGCCCTTCGAAGATCTGCACCGCGTTCACAGCTTCCTGATGGCCCTCGAATGCACCTTCAGTGGGCGAATCATCCTCACCGTGGTCCGAGGACGCATCTGAGAATAACAACGAAATACATACATGAGCACAAAGTGAAGAGTATTTTGTTTTAATGTAATTTAGCTTGTGTCTGCTTTGATTGCTTGTTTGTTTTTAACATGTTGCTTTACCCTCTTATAATATGGTATTTATTAAATTGTATGGTGTCCTTGGGTGTCGTGAAAGAGGCCCTTAAATCAAATGTATTACTATTATCATCAATTTCCCTTAATACCATGAATAACATATTATCTTAAAAGCTTAAATGACTAATATATATTCTTTGAGTCACGGGATTGGCAGCTACAAATACATGCTCACCTACATGGAAAGAACTAGATGTTCCTAAAAGTTAAACCTTAAAACAAATCAAGTATACACTGGATATACTGAATACTATTTTAATTTAGGGGAAGATAAGCACTTAATAACAGAAAACCACAAAAATATACAGATAGTGTTTGTATCAGTGCATTTGTCATATTTTATTATATTTTATTGCACTCTCACTCGTAGTTTCTCACATATTTACATTTTGTGTGAATACAATAGTTGTGGGGGAAACTTCTGAAGCAATGGGAGACTCAGAGAGAGACACGAGGAGAGCTGGAGCTTTGATGGCAAACACTGACGGTTTATTTGGAGCTTCGGCCGGAGAATTCACAAGACATGTCACGGGCCACGAGTTGACCACACGGTTGAGATGCCACAATCAATTCTAAAGAACTCTTCTGTAGCTCGAGGTTTTAACTAGTTGGAGTGTAATAATCAACATTCTTTATCAGCGAGACTAAACAAATATGGACCCTGAATCTAACTAGAGCTGTGAAAAGAATGTGCGCCAGGGAACCTACGTCCCTGAACAGTAAACTACCTCATGGCGGCTTGTGCTCGGTCATAAGCTGGCAACAACAATGCGCCCAAGCTGCCCCTCCTTAAGAGAGATAGCAGCAATACCCAAGGCCGTAGACCTATGCCGTGGGAAATGAGGCAGTGAAGGGAGAAAATGAGGAACTGTGTCAAAGGTTGAATACCTAAGCAAATTATTCCCCAACAGTATTTTTTGCTACGTATTCTTCTCTCTGTGTCTTTGAACGCACCATTTGTACCAAAGCAAATTCCTCGTATGTGTTAACGTACTTGGTGATAAAACCAATTCTGATTCTGGTCATCAAACTACCCGATTTAACAACTTTACATTTAATACATTTCCTACCAATCCCCTCTAAGTATAACTTGTGTGTGTTTCTCTGTATAAACGTTTAAATACTCGGTACACGGGGCGATCAGTTCGCCTCAGAATAAATATCCACATTCTCAGAAAGTCGGTCTAATCACACGTCTCTAACAGCTCTATGAATAACTTGCCCATAAAAAGTAATTTGGGCGCTCGGAGGATCTATTTTAACCGACGAGGAGGAAGACATGTCTAATCCTGGAGCTCACATTTATGTCTGGTTGTTTATTCAAACTTCAAAAAGACTGGGGAACCGTTTGCTCCCTTTTTGTCAAGAAAGCATCACATATCACTTTTTGTGATAAATGAAGGCCTTAAGTGACAGAACTTAGGGCATGTTACCTCCCTGCATGATTTCATAATGTATTAATATGATTAAACTGTTTTTGTTGAAGCATAACCCGACCTGTATAACATGAAAAACTCTCCAGAGGGAAACGTACCTGAGAAGATCAACGACATCTTGGGCGTTAAGATGGGAAACGGCATGTCACTGTGGGGAGAACATTTCAGTTTGTTAATATAATGAAAACATAGACATATTATATATTTCAGATTCTACTCTATGCATTCATTCATTCATGGCTTTGATGTTGGGGACTTCTATGTGCTGTTTTCTCTGAATGTCTCCATATGTCCCTAATAAACTGTCGTACAACTATGATAGCGTGGAAGTAAATTGAACTGAAGTTTTCCAAAGTCTTGTCCCCAAATCTTGAAGAATTTCAGTGTTTTCTCGTGTGAATTTTTGACTTAAATCTCAGAGAACATTTCATACATTTTCTGGCTTTAATGTCAAAGAAGTAATCAAGTTTTTCCTGTGATATTCTTTGAGATTCATGTTACAAATGTTTCTATCCTTCTCATAAATGTATGACTTGAAAATCTCTGTGTGTGATATTTGTTCCGCTTAATGTTTCATTTTACTCTGATTATCCCAAGTTTTTTTTCAAATTTTACAACTTAAGTCTTGGAAATGTTCTGTTTTTTCTCTGAATATGACTCCCCATGCTCCTAATACACTGTCATAAAACTATGATAAGACCGTGGAAGTAAATTGAACTGAAGTTTCCAAAGACCTATCCCCAAAGTACGGAGCCTCTCACCTCTCGGAGGATCTGCACACCTCCATGTCTCTGGTGTAGAATTTCAGTTTTTCTCGTGTGAATTTTTGACTTAAATCTCCGAAAACACTTCATACATTTTCTGGCTTTAATGTCAAAGAAGCAATCAAGTTTTTCCTGAGATATTCTTAGAGATTAATGTTAGAAATGTTTCTCTCTTTCTCATAAATGTATGACTTGTAAAATTAGGGGGAAAAAACGTGGTTAATTGGATTAAAGTGAAGAATTAAGAGGAAAAATATCACAAACTTTGGAGATTTTTTTCCTCAAAATGTTTCACTTCAATTAACCATGTTTTTCCTTTTGATTTTACAACTTCAGTCTTGGAAATGCTCAGTTTTCTCCCTGAATATGACTCCATATGTCCCTAAACACTGTCGTACAACTATGATATGGTTAAAAAACAGACCATGGAAGTAAATTGAACTCGATTTCCAAAGTCTTCTCCCCAGAGTACAGAAGTCTCTCACCTCTCGGAGGATCTGCACACGTCCATGTCGCTGGTTGAGGTGACCTCGTTGCAGGCGATGTGGGGCTGCAGACAGGCTTCAGTCACCTCCATCTCCTCCTCCTCAGCAGGGGGAATCGCCACCTTGTACTTGTGTGTCTCGGAGTCTTCCTTCTTCCCTTTAACGGCCTCCATGTTCACGTCTCTCTCCTCTGAAGGAGGCGTTGAGGTGCTGACAGGAGATCCTCCGCTGGTTCTCCTTCTGGGTCGGAGCCATCGAGGTTTCATCGTTTCTCCGTCCAGCTCCGTGTCGCTGCTCTCCGCCTGCTCCGTGCCCCCGGCCTTCTTCAACACCTTCCTCTTCTTCAGCTTCCTCACCCGCTTCCCGCTCCTCAGCTCAGGAGGAGAGGTGGGCAGATGAACAGCTGAGGGAGGTTCGAAGGTGTGTGAAGAAGCTGCAGAATCAGCGACGCTGCCGACCTCTGAGCTCCGCCTGCTGACGGAGAGCAGCTTGATGGAAGCTTTGGAGTCGAGGCAGCTTCTCGTTGCCTGTGTGGCTCGCTCCATCGTCTCCGCCAGCTCTGATAAGCTCTCTTTAGAGTCTGCAGGGTCGTTGAAGATCTCCCAGTTCTGGTCTGTGTTCGTCGAGTAACGCTCAGGGGACAGCTGGAAGTTAGGGGTGTGATCTGCAAGAGATTCAGATGCAAGGGAATCAGAACACTGCACACCATGTCTTTAATCTGCCTTTTACCAGGACATTGCTATTTATTTGAACATATAATTGATACAAACAGTCCTATTTTGCATTAAAACAGTCTCGATATCATACAATATGATCAAAGTCAAGTCCCTTAAACTTAGCATGTTATCTGGATTCATTTGTTTATTCTTTTCTCCCCTTAAAGGTCCCATGTCATGGCCATTTCTACTGATCATATTTCCATTGTTGAGGTCTACTAGAATAGATTTATATTGTGCAATGTTCTAAACTCACATTGGTTTCTCATACAGCATCTCTGTATAGTATGTGTATTCACTCTCTGTCCTACACGGCTTGTTGGAGCTCCTGCCCCCCCCCTCCCTATGAGACCAGTGGCCGTCTGCGAGACACAGCGAGACACAGCGAGACACAGCGAAACCCAGCCCGAACACACACACACACCCGCAGCCTGGCTGAGAGTTTGTGTGTGTGCTCACACACCGACTCACAGCCTCGCCGCGTCCCGCCGTCTCAGGGAGGAGAAATCGGCGGAGCAGCAGCTGAGAAAAGATTGAGTGTGTGTGTGTGTGTGTGTGTGAGGAAGTCCCTGGATTGGTCAATTTGGACCAATCCACGGAGGGGTCGTCGTTACGTCACTTGGTTCCCGGAAGAAAAAAATGGAAAAAGAGAAATGTCCAACGAGGCGTTCTGGGGCAGCATAGACAGGTCTTTTCTGTGTTAGAGTTTTACTCACTACAGGGTGTACTTTGAGGGTTTGTGACTCTGCAGACCGTTCACATGCAGAAAAACCTGCATAACACACAAGGGGACGGGTAATAACCAGAAGAGCATGACATGGGACTTTTAATTGTTATTATTTATGACTATGCATGCATGTTTTCTTGTTGTTTTTTCTTCCATTTCTTTTTGTCTGCTCCTGTATTTAGTATTTTGATCTTGTCAATTATTGCACGGTGACCAGTCCTAGTATTGTCTCATTTTCGATGCAGCAAGATTGTAAGACATAAAGTATGTAAATGTTGCAATTTTGTACGTTTGTTCTTATAATGTTCAAAGAAAACATAAGTTTAAAAAAAAAAATGTTCTGTGTGCTGTTACCTGGTGATGAGGCTGCAGGAGGGGGGGGTGCACGCAGCTCAGGAGTGGTGCTGTGAGCGAAGGAGGTTTTATTCTCCACGTGGTCTGTCTCCGAGCTGACGTGGATCGGAGACTTTGGCTCCTGTTTGACGATGAGCGGTGTGAAGGTGAGGCTGGAGGAGGGGGGGGAGGGGAGAGAGGGGAGGTCTGCAGGAGGATCTGGGCTGAGGGAGGAAGGGAGGAGGGAGGAAGGGAGGGAGGAAGGGAGAATCTGTGGATAAGCTTCTACCGAACCCAGCCTTTCGTCTTTTAGCTTCACCATAGGGGCTTCCTCTAAGCTACCTGTACAAAAAAAAACACAAAATAAATCAGTTTAAGTTTGTTGTTGTTGTTGTTGTTGTTGGCATACTTCACATAAGCAAACTTTTTGGTGCAATTTACAACGTTAACTACGCATTTGAAACCGCAACGATAGTCCGGGATAAAATATGTTTCCTTCACAACAGCATATACCGACCCCTCTCTTATTTCAGAGACATTGTCCTTACCTTGCATCCCTTTGAGTAACTCGATGCGTTTGTTTCTCAGAGTGCTCATCTCTCCACTCATCTGGGGGGAAATATAAAATGACAGTCATCAGAAAGAGAGTATTGTTGCTTGTAAGTGGGTAGGTGATCATTAAAGCAAGCAAAAAAGAAAGGGGCTTAAAAGCCTCAACTTAAAGGTCCCCTATTATACTGTTTTTCATCAATATATCACAGGTCTCAGATATATACAGAGCCTGTCTCTGATTGGCTGAAACACCAAACGGATCATTGCAGCATCCCATAATCCCCTCTGTTTCAGCCCTGTTTCCAAAGTGCTGATTCTCTGTCTGTTACTTTAGATGAAAATAAGGAGCCCCTCCCCACGCCCCTCTGAGAGATATTTGGTTAAAAATAACTATTTTTTGCGCTTTCACACCAAGTACTTTGCCGTATTTAGTTCATGAGAACTTAGTCAATCAGAACTCTTTAGTTCTGATTAACTAAAGAGTTCTGATGAACTAAAGAGCAGATCGCGTTCACACCGGAATAAATCCCTGAGGGAGGGTTAGGCAAATGAAGCCGCTGACGTCACTTCTTCTTCTTCTGCTTTGGGTTTACTGGCAGGCCGCAAACAACTTCACGGCGTATACTGCCACCCGGAGTCCCCGGCCGGAAGTCCCCGGAGTTGGGGACTGGCTTCAGTAGAAGCTGCTGGGACTCCCAGCAGCTTCTACTGAAGCCTTCCGAGTAAATCGCCAGAACGCCGACACCTCCTCATCACTTCTGCCGCTCCCATGTTTTCTTTTGTGTTGCCATAAGTTAGTCTCTCTGCGTTTGTGCGCTGGGCTAATGCTAATAATGCTAATGCGAGGAAAATAAAATGGTGGCTTCACAAAACTTTTTGGGAGTTTTACGGGGCGTGGTTTGCAATCCGCCCAGCCAATCAGAAATGGGAACCTTTTTCTCCCAGGAAAGTCCCTGCTCTCTAGCAGGGACTGAAAAGGGGGTGGAAAGGTTCTCGTGAACTAAGTTCTAGTTCCGGATTTCTTTTGGTGTGAACGCACATTTTCTGAACTATACTGGGAAAAGTACTCCGGTGTGAAAGCGCCTATTGGTGCTCTAGGAGGAGATTCAGGTGATAAGGTGGGGGGGGGTGGGGTTACCTTGGTTGCTGATTGGCTAATGGTTACAGAAGCCAAAACATCGTTATGACATCATAAAGTGGCCAAAATCTGATCAGCTCATTTTCAGACAGGTTTTTATATAAATGGATCAGGACAAAAAGAGAGAGAATCTTTGTTCCTGAAACTTTCAGAGTCTCTTTACACAGAGGGGACACATGTTGATGTAGAAGAGACATGAAGAAGAGGGGACACATGTTGATGTAGAAGAGACATGAAGAAGTGGGGACACATGTTGATGTAGAGGAGACATGAAGAAGAGGGGACACATGTTGATGTAGAAGAGACATGAAGAAGAGGGGACACATGTTGATGTAGAAGAGACATGAAGAAGAGGGGACACATGTTGATGTAGAGGAGACATGAAGAAGAGGGGACACATGTTGATGTAGAAGAGACATGAAGAAGAGGGGACACATGTTGATGTAGAAGAGACATGAAGAAGAGGGGACACATGGTGATGTAGAAAAGACATGAACAAGTGGATTTTGCATAATAGGTGACCTTTAATATGATAAATGCATAAACCAAATATTATCACTATCATCCAGTATAAGTTACACACACAATCATTTAAGGTCACATGTATAATCTTGGTTTTCGGGGCTGTAGCGACCGCTTTAAATGTCTGAAATAATATTTGATGTCATCAACATTTTCATCACGTCCTAAACTTAGAAGTTTTAGTGTTCTGTACCTGCTGTTTGACCACCATCAGCCGCTGCACCTCCAGGTACGCCGCCTCCAGAGCAGCTCGAGCTTGGATCAGACTGGAGTCGACCGTTTGCAGCGAGTGAGACAGCTCCTCCTCACGCAGAGAGACAGCCAGCAGCTGGTCGATCTGCAGACGCTCTGTGAAGAAACAACATAAATATACTTCATTATCTCCCTCTAACTCAGAGTCAATTCAACCAAAATCATCTGATTGCACAAGCAGGGACAAAAACAAACAGTACACGTTGGAAAATAGTGAAAAATGTCTGTCCCAGTTTCTCAAAGTCCAAGGGGATGTCTTTAAAGTTCATGTTATGTCAGTCAAAGATACAATATTATTTGATATAAAATAAAGCAAAGCAGAAATTCTCTTTGGGCTAAAGAGCAGCATTTTCCGACATTCTAGCATAAATGTACTTCCTTGAATCAGCAGTCCATATGCATGACATTAATTATTGCAGGAGAACTCATAGATACTGACCTTTTTTGGATTTGACTTTCCTCCTTTTGCTATTGTGTTCCAAACAAGACGTCTCTGCACTCGGGACGTCCTGCAAGGAAGGACATATTTCATTAGAATGAACACTGAAGTCCTGTAACATATTCAGTGTAGGCTTAAAGCAGAGATAACGAACATGTGTCAAACTCAAGGCCCGGGGGCCAAATCAGGCCCTTGGTGGATTTAATTTCGGCCCGCAGGATAATTTCTAATTACTATTAGATCTGGCCCGCCGGTATATTGCACGCACACCTTCACTCCATCCTGAGGAGCCTGACCAGAATCATAATTCTCTTGTTTCATTTCATTATTATTTTTTTATTATTGTATTACACGTTCGAAATAAATCAAATCAAATAAGAAAACCTTTTTGCAATGTTAGTTTTTTTCCAATAGCCCTACTCCAGAAACAACTTCTGTCACACATTTGTAAACAGACTTTGCTGTATAAAACATCAGTTCCTCTTTCACCCTCGGTTCAAGAGGAAATTTGAAGAATGTCATTTTTATAGACATTTTAGTCCTTTTTCCATGTTTAAAGATCAGCAGTCCTTTGTATTCATGTAGTTCACCCGATAGACCTCTAGATTTAGCTGTTTGCAATACTAATTTCTGTCTATCCGTCCCAAATGTTTAATGGCTATTTCCTCTATTTTCACATCAGAGAAATGGTATGAAATCTTTTTGCAATGTCAGTATTTTTTGCAATAGCCCTACTCCAGAAACAACTTCTGTCACACATTAGTAAACAGACTTTTCTGTATAAAACATCAGTTCCTATTTGACCCTCTTCCTGTTCTCACCCCGGCTGCTCTTCCTCTCTTCTCCATTCATGTAGTTCACCTGATAGACAGGGCCGTTTCTAGCTTTTTGGGGGCCCTAGTTTTTACATTTTTTTTTTTAACTACAGGGTTCATACACTTTTTCACCAATGATTTTCAATGACTTCTCCATGACCTTTACCTAATTTTCCATGACCAAAAAAATTACTCTTTCTCAGCGGTACCACATGGAACAGGAAAATAAGGTCTGCATATGAAACATGTTGTGCCTATCTAAAACAAATCAAATAGGCTTACTAGCTTCTACAGGCTAAAGCAACTAAAATCTCTCACCAGCAAAATACCTCGTCAGTTAAATGCCATTTTACGTTTCATTACTATACAATACAGTATTTATTATCATTATAGTATTACTATTTAGGCGATTAGCTAAAATATAAATTATATTTTATGCAACTTTAGTTACATTTCCATGACTTTTCCAAAACTTTGGGAAAAATATTGTTTTCCATAACTTTTCCAGGGCCTGGAATTAGCATTTTGAATTTCCATGACTTTTCCAGGTTTTTAATGACCGTAGAAACCCTGCAACTACAATGGGGGGATTCCGAAGCCTTTCAGATGAGACGCATCAATCTGTTACACTTTAAGAGGAAAACAGGCTAATTTCACGAAAACAAAGCAATTGAAACTTACACACAATTATATTAAAACGGTAAACAATAAGGCTCCTCTACGTCAATACATGCAAGAGATGCAGCATTTTCTCAACAATGTGACAGCCCAACGATGATTTGGACTTTATTACCCCCAAAACACAAGCCTCAGCTTTGCTATCATTGCAGTTTAGTTGTGTTTATATCCTACATTTGATTTTTAAGCATATAATGCTTCACCGAACACGGGAGGGGGCTTGGCTGTCTACAAATAAAGACGGCTAATTTTAATTCTCCCCAAATATATTGAGGCTGAACCTGAACTTTCAGCTTGGGGGCCCCCTAGTGGCCGCGGGGGCCCTATGCATCTGCATAGTCCGCCTATAGGAAGAAACGGCCCTGGATAGACCTGTAGATTGAGCTGTTTGCAATACCATGTTCTTTCTATCTGCCCTGAATGTTGTATAAAAGCTCCGTTCCTCTTTCACCCTCCTCTCTGTTCTCACCCCGGCTGCTCTCCGTCTCTTCCCGGTTCCCTGTCCGTCGTAGAGCTCCTCCATCGAGCTGCTGTCTCCGAGCACAGAGTCGGACCTCTGCAGCGCCCTCACTGTGGCCGAGGTCAACTTCTCCGGCTGCTTCTGAGCTTTCTCCTCGCTCTGACCCAGCATCTGCTCCACCTCCACCTGCTCCTCCTCTCCTTTGTTCCCTTTGGCGGACGCAGGATTTGGAGAAGTGACCTCGGCTTCTCTTTGTTCCGGCTCCTCCTTTTTGATGAAGGATGTGAACAGGGAGTGGGTGGATGCGGGGACGATGCTGCTCTCTGATAACGAGCGCTTTCTGGAGGCGGGGGCGTCCATTAAAGACTCCCACTGGAAACCCTCGATCAGGGGAATGTCTCCTTCCTCCTGGCTCTGGTCCTCCTGCTCCATCGGCACCATCTCGATCCCAAACCTAAAACACACACGGGACATAATGTGAGCTTGGGGGAAGTAAAGAAAGTATCAAACTCTAACTACAGGATCCATACATATTCTAAAGACTGAAATATCAGGGCGACCCACAATAAGGCTTTTAGGGTGATGGCTAGGGCTGAACGATTAATCCATTTTAAATTATGCAATTATCAAATCGCAAATAGATTTTTGTTTTTCTTGTGTGTCAGTCATCCACACCAATCAAAGGTGATAGACGGATTGATCCAATCACCTGCCAAGTATTTTTGAAATACTTTTCCAAATGGCTTCCAATGGAGCTTTCCTAGATGGTTTGGTGAAACAAAGCATCTGAGTCAGGTTAGTAATGCTCCATCACATGTTATCTATGACAGGGTGAATCTGAAACTGAAGCTTGACTTTAAAGCAACCCAACGGAAGTTTCATGTAAGTTTAGTTCTTTCACTCGCAGCTCGGGCTGCGGGGGTGCTAGAGACGGGAGCGCGTTGATACGACCTTCCTAGCCGGAGATATGGCCGCATTTTACAATAAACTTCCGTTGGGTCGTTTAAAAACAAATATCACAAATCGAATCGCAATATGTCAGAAAAATTGCAATTAGATTATTTCCCCAAATCGTGCAGCCCTAGTGATGGCCTCCCTTGCATATTCTGTTTTAAATGTATGTTTTTGTATATATATTGATTGTTGTGCTTTTATTTATGTCTTAATATGTGAATATGTATAAATGTGTTGATTGTGTATATATAGGATATACATATTTTTATACATATTTTTATAAATATTTGTATTTTTGTATTCGGGATTGTGGGAAACGGCATTTCGATCTCTCTGTCTGTACACACAAACTGAAAGATAAAGTTGACTTTGACTTGACTTAAATAAGGCTTTTGCATATTCTGTTTAGATGTATATATTACTATTCTTTTTTATGTGCCATTAAAAATCAAAATAATGTAATCCTAATACTAATCCTAAAACTAATATTACGGGAGGATTGTAGCATTTTCTTTAAGGACTGTATTTTAATTTAAGCATATTCCTAGACTTCCCAAACCTTTTCCAAACTTTATAGACTTTCACCTTGTAAATAAAGTATCAACCACCCACCTCGGCATGCCTTTCCCTTTGTCCTGCTTCTTCCGGACCTCCTGGTACACCTGCTCCCAGTTGACGTTGCGCCGGGACCCGGAGGAGCTGATGAGTTGCCTCACCGTGGGTTTGAGTCCAGAGTCTTTCTCCGAGTCGCTCCTCCGGGACTCGCTCAGGTTCCTGACCCGCCGGGCGATGTTCAGGTTGGGCTCGCGGGCGCCCGGTTTGCTTTTGGTGCTGATGTGTTTGGTCAGGTCTCGCTTCAGGACGGGAGGCAGGTCCAGTTTGGAGAGACCGGACGCCGTTTGAGCGTCACCACTTCTGGAGGCGTCGCTCTCTGAACTCTGGCCGAACTCTGCTGCCTGCGTGGCTTCATCTGAGGCCGCTGCGGATGTTTCCTTCTCCGTGTTCTCCTGGTTCAATGCTGCAGGATCGGAGCTCTCCAGAGTTGAGGTGCTCACTTGTAAAGACTGGAGGAACTGGCTGCCGTCTGGAGATTGTGACGCAGGCTTTTCTGCTCTCACTAAATCCGGCAGCTTGGGTTTAGCTGCATTCTGCCTGTTCTCTTTATTCACTCCGATCTGACTCGGATCCCTCTGCTGATCCTCCACGATGTGCAGCTTCATCTCCATCCTGTTGTTCCTCTCCAAGGAGCTCTTCTTCTCCAACACGCTCTGTCGGGCTTTCTTTAAAGCTTCTGGAATCTGCCTCGACTGAAGCGGCCCGACAGCCGGAGCCTGGGAGCTCAATCCGGCTGATTTGGATTGTGCCTTCAGCTGATTTGAGGCGAGTTGCGCTGGACCAGGATCTGATGTCGACTTCCGGTCTTTTTGCAGCGATGGCTTACTAGCTTTCTGATTTGAAGCTCCAGGAGTGGCGTCCTGTTTGGCGTCTTTCTGCGTGCTGCTGCTGCTTCTGCTCCCGCTGCTGCTGCTCCGGTCTCTGGGTTTGGTTTTGGGGATTGTTTTATGCTTTCTTTTATCTTCCACGCTCTGCTTCTCTTCAGGCCGAGACGTGGCCTCTTGTGGCTTCTCTTGTTTCTGGGGTGTGGGGTGCTTCTCTGTGGGGTGCTTCTCTGTTGGGTGCTTCTCTGTTGGGTGCTTCTCTGTTGGGTGCTTCTCTGTTGGGTGCTTCTCTGTTGGGTGCTTCTCTGTTGGGTGCTTCTCTGTTGGGTTTGTCTCCTTATGGGGTGCAGATTCAAACCCCTTAGTGCAGGGATAGGGAGTCCAGCGACACGCTTTGTCCAGCTTCGGATTGCTCCCACAGGTTTTAGAGCTTTTCCCGCTGCTGTGTTCCGGTTCTGGTGTTTTCACCTCCCCGTTCTGAACTACCTCCGCCTGCTGATCATTCACTTTACTCTGAAACTGGTTAAGAGGGCGGGAAAACAAAATGGGTGGAGGTGGATACATGGGAACAGACCCGAGGAAGCTCAGCGGTCGGCTTTTTGGCGGTGGGCACTGGGCGATGTTATTCCTCCCGTAGATGCCGTTGCTGCTGCCTCCGCTGCTCAGCCACGGATGGCGGCTCTGCTGAGAGAATCCATTCTGATCCCACTGCCGGCTGCCCTGGTTGTGTAAACTTCCTCCAGTAAACTCCGCTGACGCCCACTTCTGCAGGTTGGGCGGCTCCTGAGCGTGCCAGGTGGCGCTCTTCCCCGGCTGCTGGCTGTGCTGGCAGGGCGGTGCCTCCCCTTCAAAGTGGTTCCCCCGGTACCAGGTCCGGTTGTGAATGGATCCTCTGGAGGCTTGAGCCTGTTGTTGTTGTTGCTGCTTCCGGACGATCTCCAGCCGGTAGCGTTCCTTAGTTTCTTTTAGTTTCTGCCTCATCTCCTCCTTTCTCCGGCGGTCCGCTTCTTCTTTTGCAAGCTTTGCAGAAGTGGCCTCTTTTTCTTTCCTACAAATAAAAAAAACAGAGATGCATCACACATGTAGAAGTCTCCCGAAGCTGTTTTCATGAATGTTTAGACACGTGTGTGAGTAGGTACAAACAAAGCTTCTCCTATGCAAGTTGGCATTTATTCTAGATAAGAAAACGCATTGTTCATTGTAGACATTTAGAAGGTGAAACAAATATATTTGTGGTTAGTAATGTCAGAGTAGGGGCCGTTAACTCGTCACAAATTGTAGGAATGTTCATGCAATGGTAAGCCGTGACCTACTGTGGTCGAAGCATACCAGATTTGTATTATTTAGCCACCTTAATAAAGGCTTTGTAAGTATTTCTTTCCTGGTGGTTTAAAGTGCTCGGTTGTCTTCCTGTTATCCTGATTCCTCCCTGTTTTCCAAAAGCAGCCGACCGATCCCACATGAGTTCACAGAGCATCTTTCTTAGGACTTTTTACATGTTTAAGCATAAGTGTAGCTACTCTTCCACTATATTTAGAAACAGAGGCATCAATATACACTACGAGGTCTTTGCTATATTATTTAATACTCTCATGAATCTGTGTTTTTGAGACTAAAGAAGGAAAAACATCAGTGTAGTGAATTCTACAGAGCCCAAGTGGCACTAAAATGTGTAAATGCAGGTTTAAGACTCACTCCTGCAACGGAAAACTGAATATCCGATACGCTGGAATCTGTTTAACAAGACTCATCTGTTGTCAGGTGTCACGGTTGGCGTTACAGTCTGACCTAAAGCAATGACCAGCAGGGGGAAGTGATCCGACACGTGACACGCAGACGCACAAAAGTAGCTTAAAAAAAGCTTTACACATATCCAACTTTCTTAACTGACATTAAGACGTATTTCTAAGGCATCCAACATTGTGTGATCAGCCAAACATGCACACAAAATGCATATTTTAAGGAGCAGTACAGGCAGCTTAATTTGAGATGTGTGTATTATAATGCCTAAAACTACAATTACACATATTTAAAAGGAAAATCGGAGTATTTTATTCCAGATTTCAGAGTGTTTCCGGGTTATAGCGGAGGTTTCTGGTTGTGTTTGACCATTTGTGGAGGGCCTGCAGTGTGTGTTTGCTGCCATGCTTTTATTTTGGGCTTCAGTCCTGACATACGACTCCAGCCGCAGCTCGACCTGAAGCTGCAGCTATAACAGGGCAGTGAGCGGAGCACAGCTGAACTGTGACTATACATGGCGCATGCACACACTAACGACAAACTCCTGAGCATTTGAGTTCATGCACATGTATACAAACACGTATCAAACTGGTCAAAACAATATATAAGAACATATTTCTCACTATGAGCGGTACTCAATACATCAAAATGTTTCGTATAGGCTCTGGATTAGTGATAAAATGCAATTTTTACAACCATGAAATCGATTTTAAAATAACTTAGTCGTCTCATAATAACAACAAAAACAATGTAATTGACACGCACTGAGATATGTAGACAAAATGCATGTTATTCCCCTCCAGCTCAAAAGCTAATAACAGCGTATTTTTAAGGTAATTTTGACAATTTTCTATGAATTATTTTATGGTCAAACATTATTAAACGTGCACCAAAACTGTGCAACAAATGGTGTCAACCAAGAAACTGCTGTAACGACATTTGATACATAATTGAGCAGAGGGCTGGCCTGCTCTGTTGTGATTGGTCAACCGCTCTGAGATGCCCCGCCCCTTAGCCAATCACGTACAATGTGTGGGAGAGCTAGCCAAAAGGAGCGCGAGTGTTAGATAGTGATGTCACTATGTTCAGGAAGTAAACCAAGGAGTCCAATGGAGGGAACACAGGGATTTTAGGCCTCACAGACCATTTACATGCACTAAAACCTATAGAACACACTACAGTAAAAGGGAAAACCCCAAAAAGCATAGCGTGAAGAGGAAGTGGAAGACGTTAAACCAACACTAGTATCGCCTCCAGCACAAACAGCATAACAAAAACATTTTTAAATCCGGACTCTCTCACCTGATCTGTTCCTTCCTCTTCTCGATGAGGTCCACAAACGCCCGGTCGAAGTACACCTCGTCGCGGTCGTTCCCAGCATGCTTCAGCTCGGCGGCCTCCACGTTCTGCTTGTGTTTGGGACTAGAGATGTGTCCGGCGTAATCCGTCAGGCTCGCCACCGTCACCTTACACACTCTGCACTCGTGTCCGCAGTCCCTGGAGGGGAGGGAGGGCGAGAGCGGACGATCAATCCTTCCTTCAGGCATTTTTGTTATCTTGTTCTAGTTCCTGCAGAGCGTGCAAATCGTTGCTTCCGACTCTACGTTTTGTTACTTCAAAAAAAAAAAGTCTTAATATAAAATCAGGAGAGGAGAATACTCAACAATCCTTAATAAAAACCGAATTCTTCTATTTGTCACAGATCAGGAGGTCGCTAACTTAGTAATTTTGTTCACAATAAAAATCTGTATCATCCTGATCTTGGGTTATTTTTGTTCTTCAGAGGGCCATAGGTGGCGGGAGCGCGGCAGGAGAGGAAGGGAGGCTCAGCACCTCAGCCTACTACTGCTTCATGATGGTGTCGCTGCGCTCTGAGGCTCTGTAGGAGGAAGTGTCTGTATTTGATCTCAGGATCCACCCCCCCCTCTCCCTCTCAGAGCAGCATGTGTTATTAACCCCCAGCCGGACCAATCCCACAGCCTCTGCAACCGGAGCCTCCTGCAGCTGCTCTCTTCAGAAAAACCTCTCCCAAGTATGTCATCCTGTGATTCTGCGCGAGGCTCCGTTTTCTTTTTCAAATCTGTGTCATGGCAAGCTGCCATTTCTCTGACCTCTGGTGCAGTTGGCACCCTCTTCATCGGTCAGATAGTGTTACTTATATTTATTTGACTAGTTATTTCGCAGCTATGGCGATAGGAGTAATGCAGCCAGATTTAGTGATGATGGAATTGCAATTTGTCGACCTTACATAGAGCTGTAGCTACGTTCCTTTCCTGGACAAACATCATCGAGCTCTCTAGTAAAAGTATATTCCTTGAAACTACACAATATATCTGGATGCAAATTGTAACCATGACTGTTGAATTTCAGTTTGATGTTTATTTTATTTATTTCATTGACTTTTATTTATGATCTTGTACTTGTGTTTTCTATCATTGTTATAAGCCAAGAAAAGCCACAAGTACAATGTGATTTTTCTGTTTTGTTTCTCCATTATGTACAAACTTAACTCAATAAAAACTCAAGTTTAAAGCTGCAGTGATGATACATTTACATCAACAATGTTGCTAGTTGATTAATAATGATAGTACTTTTTCACGCAGAAATGTCAGTAAATGTATTTTTGTATATTAATATCCTGATTTTCTCTATTTTACCGACTAATAAAGTGAATATCTTTTGGGTTAAGGACTGACAAATCAAGACATCTGAAGACTTCAAATTCGACTCTGACAGACTGGGCTTGACTTTCTTTAGGCATATTTGAGACCAAACCATTACTCGATTAAATTGGTAAACACTCAGTAGATCAATTGGTAATCCTAGATGCATCTTGTACAAAAACAAGCATGTAAAAGCAAAAGGAAATCTGCATTTAACGGGTTTAACGCCTCTATAAAGTGGCAAATATTTGATTTTACACTTCATTTTTTATTTGAATTTAACAAGATATATTTTTCTATTAGGAACATTTGACCCTAAAATCCAGAACAGGATAGAAAAACCCCCCAAATGGCCTCTTATCTTCTCCTTGAATACAATGGAACCAGACGGCACGGTGCAAAATTAACCAGCCGCAAATGACCCCCAAAAAGGCGCCATCTCTACATGTCTCTACTTGTTTATATGAAATCGCAGTAACGTAGCAACGACTCGGCCTTCATACAGTGTTTGCTGCACACGTCCCTCCCCCTCAGCGACAGGCCGCATACTTCACTAATCTGCACGGCCGTCACGAGATAGCCAGTTGCCTCCTCTCGGTCATGCCCGTTGTTCCGGAGAGATTGTGTCTAAATATATTTGCCACAAGCGAGACAGCTGCCCATAAATCCAGCGGCTCGATAACTGAAACGAACACGTGCCTCGTGACCCAAATACATTTAGACGAATCTCTTGATACAAAGTCAAACCCTTTGAATTAAGTTTAAAGTAATGTTTTAACTAAGAGGAAAAAGAAAGGCCACATTGTAATACTAAAACTGGGGTTTAACAGTTTCTATAGAAATGAAAAACGGGTGAAATGTGGGTCATGATACATAATATGTGCATATTTTGCATTTTTGCATTAACAACTCACCTTCCTTTGAGCTTCTCCAGCTCTCGGTGGTGCAGCATGCTCCTCATGTGTTCATCCATCTCCTGCAGACACACATACAGAATTAAGTATTTATTTAAGGTTTGCTTGATTAGCAAGGTGGTGCATTACACATTATAGGTGCCAAAGAGGAGGAATAAACATGTCATTTAGTGATTTCTGACTTCTCAGACAAATTGATGGACAAGATATTTGTTTTAAGGGGAAAATATTCTTATTTTTAAGCTAAACAAACACTTGAAATACTTACTTTTTGGAGAAATAATGAACATAAATAGATTTTTGTTGGATAGCAATTGATAATAAACCTTAACAAATCCCAACAAACTGTGAAAACAATATTGCAGATTATCTGTTAAACCGTTTATATTCATTTTGTCAGCTCGTGCCTGAGCTCCTGAATTAAAATCATACAGTATTATTTACACATTAATATTGTATATATTGAAAGACAAGATGTTTATTTAATTGGAAAGCTCTCCTTCTCTTTAAGTTAAACAAAACACTTAAAATACTTATCAGGGTTCATACACTTTTTCACCAATGATTTTCCAGGACCTTTACCTAATTTTCCATGACCAAAAAAATTACTCTCAGCGGTACCACTGAAAATGGTTTATTTTAACATGGAACAGGAAAATAAGGTCTGCATATGAAACATGTTGTGCCTATCTAAAACAAATCAAATAGTAGGCTTACTAGCTTCTACACGCTAAAGCAACTAAAATCTCTCAGCAGCAAAATACCTCGTCAGTTAAATGCCATTTTACGTTTCATTACTATACAATACAGTATTTATTATCATTATAGTATTACTATTTTGGCGATTAGATAAAATATAAATTATATTTGATGCAACTTTAGTTACATTTCCATGACTTTTCCAAAACTTTGGGGAAAATATTGTTTTCCATAACTTTTCCAGGGCCTGGAATTAGCATTTTGAATTTCCATGACTTTTCCAGGTTTTTAATGACCGTAAGAACCCCGACTTAATTTTTGGTGAACATTTTTAAGATAAAAAGATGTTCTTTGGACAGCATTTGACAAGTGCAAAAGGTGTTTCAAACATTGAGTAATTAAGATAAGATAAGATAGGGACATGTTTGTGTTGCAGCAGCATAAAAATACATGGCATTGTACAATACAAATTAAAAGACAAGAAATAAACAAGAAAGTAGAAAATATACATGTTGAATTGACAAATTAACAATAACAAGATATAAGAAAGGTATTATATTTACATAAGTATTAACCTTCTTAAAAGAACATTTACTTAAATCCGAACAAACTGTGAAATCAATATTGCAGATTATCTGTTGAACCTTTTATATTCATTTTGTCCGCTCGTGCCTGAGCTCCTGAATGTCTGAATTAAAATCATACAGTATTATTTACACATTAATATTGTATATAAAGTTTTACCTGCTTGGAGACGTGGACCGTTTCGCACAGGATGCACTTCCTGTCTCTCGCCATCTTGAACACGAGTATTAAATCAGTCCATTACTGTCGAGAGAGAAGAGAGAGAATTACATTAAATAAATCACAGCTTACAAAAGGACAAAGCAACACAGTTCTGTAAATTAACCTGAATTATAAATATATTTTAAATGTGGTTGGGTGAATGTGGTTCAACCGTAGTTGGATCTTGTCACCATTCAAAATAATTCTGTGAGTTCTCGTCACACCAACAACATGGAGGGAGCTCAAAGATTATTTTCTCTAAACAACCACTCCTAAATATTCAACAACATACCTCGGTACCACCGCCCGAATGTCAGCAGAGTTCGACCTGAACCCTGGGGTCTAATAACAGCCTGCTGAGGCGGCGGGGGCTAAGTCTGGACATGTTGGTCGCTCTCAAACAGGGACACTAACGGCAGCCCGGAGGCTTTCTGCACCAACACTGCCCTCTCAAGATGCTTCTGGTCATGTTTCTCAAGACTCAAGGCTTTTATTGTCATGTGTACATAGCTACAGTGTTAGTTATATCAATGACATTCTTAGGTCACAGGCTCTTCCATCAGTGCAACACAATAAAACAGATAAAATAGTGCAAGTAAATACAAATAAACACACGTTGCATACCGCTATTTTATTGTCTTTTTCGGACACCTTAAAATACTGCCAGACTGGTGAAGCCATTTTGGCGAGCTTGTTTTGCCGCACACAGAGAAAAGTCTCATGTATATTACGTCATGCGATTGGCTCTCGCGATCGGCATTTTTAGCGGCCGATCGATCGGAGCATCCCTAAAGAATAGTCTATATACAAGTAATTGGAATATTGATATATATAAGTTGCAAACAGATGATTGTTATGGATGGATGTAGGGACCAATTGAATTTAAATTCTAGGTGCATGCCTTTTTATATAATGGTGTTCTATTTTCTTCGTCTCTATATCTATACTTTGATGTAACAATGTACATTTCCACCATTGTGGGACGAATAAAGGAATTCTGATTCTGATTGTTCTGCGTTAAAATGTCACGGGTTTAAATGATTTGAGGTTGTAAAAGTTCAGAGGAAAGTTTGAAAGCACTGTGGTGTATTTGTAACAGCATTTGAAATGTGTAAATGACAACAAACCAAGAGGAAACTTCTCGGTAGAGCAGCAATGACTAGCGGACTAATCGATTACATGACTGGACTGAAAAAGATAAATATATATTGTTTTGGACTGAAAAAATAAGATATTTAAAAATATAACTTATAGTATATTATTATATCATAAGAATAATTATTATTCCAATGAATGTATTTCTCATTATTTTTGTTTGTATGAACACGGTTTGGATTACATGCATCTCTAATACTGTATCATCATAAATGCAGATGTTAAGCACAAAAAAAAGTAACGTTTGGTTATATTGATTTTTTTTAAGGTCAAATGTGTTTGTACAGAAAAGGAAGATTGACATTTTGCTTCGCCTTCATTCGGTAAATACCCACAGAAGTAATGATTCTTGAATATAAAGAAGATTATCAAGATCAAGCCAGGGTTTTGTGTCTCTTTGACTTTAAGAAAGCCAACTGGGCCAAACGCTTCGGAAAAGAAATAACCTGACGAGGCTTCCTTCTTTCCATCTGCACAACTCTCCTACAACAATAATTGACTTATAAATCAAAATAGAATGAGCTTCATTAGGACCAAGAGGAGTGTCTGGAGATCCTATCATCTTCATAATTTAGGCCTATATTCTGTTCATTACATTATCACGTCCCACAATACCTCATCACCATTTCCCTATCCCTGCAAGAGGACCAGAGGGTAGCTATTAATAATAGAAGCTGCATGATGCATGGGTCATGTTTCCTCTCAGACGCTGAATATCTACAGAGCTGCACACAGGACAGGGAGAGACATCGAAATAATCTGATATTAGGGACTGAGCCGGTAGTTACGGTATAACTGTAAGACGGTCTGCCAAGCCTCATACTACCACCTGAGGAACATCTCCAAAATACGACACTCCTTCGCCAAACCGGACGCAGAAAAACTGGTCCATCACCTCCCACATTGACTACTGCAATTCTCTGCTTGCAGGCATTCTGACAAAAACCACTCAGAGACTGCAATATGTTCAGAACGGTGCCGCCCGGATACTCACAAAAACATGCAAATCAGAGCATATCACCCCCAATCTTCCCTCACTCCACTGGCTCCCTGTAACCCACCGGATCAACTACAAAGTCCTCATAATGGTCTTCAATGCCATCAACCACACTGGCCCCACCTACCTACCTACAGGAACTGCTAACGAGACAACATTCACATACCTCACGCACACTGAGGTCAGCCAGCTCCAATCTCCTGGCTGTTCCGCGGACAAAACTGGTCAGCGTGGGAGAGCGTGCTTTCTCCTCCCTGGGTCTGTGGAATCAGCTTCCAGAGAACATACGGACCTCTGCATCACTCTCAGTTTTTAAGAAATGCCTCAGGACCCACCTGTTCCTCACCTAGCGCACTCGAGCTGGTTTCTCCATTCTTACCTACCCTACCTTTAACTGTAGGCAAACACACAGAGGACAGGGGAAGGCGTTTGATGTGGGAGTATTTCAGAAAAACCACCACAGGGCTTTCCTCTGCAAACATAGTGCATGTACGGGAAATGAGAAACTGCCTCTGAAGTTAAATAGTTCAGAGGTTTTGTAGCTTGAGGATATCTCAGGTAGTACACATACACAGTCAACCCTGTCTACACAAAGCAGTTCAACAGGCCCCTAAAGCATGCAAAGTTAATGTAGGCAATAACAGGCAATATGTCCTTTCCAAATGATCCAGAGTCCACTCAGAAATGGACGCTTAATAAAACCAAAATACAATGTTATCACGGATATAGAGCTGCAAGAAGTGTTAGGCGACAAAACAAGACATTTAAAGACCACACCTTGGAGAAGCTGGGAATTACTTTTTAACATCTGACCAAATCATACATTGAAAGAAATCTCCTATAAAGCTGTAACTTAAATAAAACAATAAATATGTTTCCACAGATTTGTCCAGATACATACTACCCTTTCCTCCAAAGAAATATTTAAAATAATCATGATGTTGGAAATTGAGAGTACTAACAAGTCTACCAAGTAAGTTTTGTATACATAAGCATTAGGCTGCATATCTCAAAAACACTTTCTTTACCGTTCAGAGTTTTAAAAAAACTAGCTTTTGACTAACTTGATAACCTAGCAAAGGATTAAATGGGTCATATTCCATCTAGGGCTGAACGATTAATCGATTTTAAATCAAAATCGCGATTTTAAATTATGCAATTATCAAATCGCAAAGCCTGCGATTTATTATTTTTTTTATTTTTTTATTCTTCTTGTGTGTCAGTCATCCACACCAATCAGAAGTGGCCCATGATAGAAGGTGATAGACAGATTGATCTAATCCCCTGCCTAGTGTTTTTGAAAGTGCCTGCCCTTTTCCAAATGGCTTCCAATGGAGCTTTCCTAGATGGTTTGGTGAAACAAACCATCTGAGTCAGGTTAGTGATGCTCCATCACATGTTTCTATTACAGGGTGAATCTTAAACTGAAGCTTGACTTTAAAAGCAACCCAACGGAAGTTTCATGTAAATTTAGTTCTTTCACTCGTAGCTCGGGCTGTGGGGGTGCTAGAGACGGGAGCACATTGATACGACCTTCCTAGCCGGAGATATGGCCGCATTTTAAAATAAACTTCCGTTGGGTCGCTTAAAAACAAATATCGCAAATCGAATCGCAATATCTGTCAGAAAGATCGCAATTAGATTATTTCCCCAAATCGTGCAGCCCTAAATCCATCTCATCCACTGAATATATACAGAGCTGCAGACAGGACAGGGAGAGACATCAAATTAATCTGATATTAGGGACTGAGGTACTTATGTTAAAACTGCAGGCAAACACACAGGGGATAGAGGAGGATGTTTGATATGGAAGTATTTTAGGAAACCCACAACAGGGCTTTCCTCTGCAAACATAGTGCATACAATGAAAAGGACAACTTGTCTTTGAAGATTCATCGAGTTGATAAATCTCCCTAAAATCTACCTCAAAGCCAATTGTCAAACAATAAACAGTAAAAAAAACGTCTGCACAAAGCAGTTCAACAGAAGAGGTTAGGTGTTAAATTAGCTTTTTGGCTAACTTGGTACATGAGTTTATCAACAAGTCACATTACATTTGAGCAGCTGGAGTTACAATACGAATTATAACTGATGGTATAAAGCATGCAAAGTTAATAAGCTGCAAAAACAACACTTTCTTTACAGTTTAGTCAAATAAAAAAACACTATCTTTTGACTATATTGGTGAACTAGCAGATGATTGAATCGTTGTTTGTTGTTAGCCTAGCTGTGGCTAGCTGCTCAATACTTTCACATAAATAATAACAGGTCATTATGAATTGATCTAGAAGCAAACTAAAATGATAAGCACACGTACAAAAGTACGACTTGACTTCTAACATAATTAAATGTAACTGTAAAGTAAGAGCTACAGTTAGCTACTAGGTTAGCATACTAGCAACAACATGCTATCCGACGACACAAGCGTACACCAACGTTTCTTTAGGTAATCAATGATTTACTAAATTATAAAAGCGTGAGGGAGTTCTGCTAAGTCATAGTGTCTTTTATACATTAAACATATATGACTGTTTTCTACCTTTAAAACATCCAGATGTGTCTGAAGCTACAGCATGTTTCTCCTCCAGCGCGAAGCTAAAACAACAACATCCGCCTCCTCCTCCCGAGGGGCGTTCAGGAGCCTCGCTCGGTGCTCGGAAAAAAACGAACGACGCGTTCAGTGTCGTGAAAAATGATTGTACGGAAGAGGATTAGGGCCACATGAGGAAAATAAATTGGGATGTGACGATGTGACCGTCTACAGAATATAGAAGTATAGGATCATAAAATCTCAATTATACAGATCTGGGAGAAAATCGTGTACTTTAGTAATTGTGTAAATACTTTATAAGTTACAAGCATAGGGTTACAAGTCCCGCATTATTATGTTTTTGTATAAGTACAAAAGTCTGATCCTCACAATATGTACTTGAACTACTCATAGTAAAAAAGTACACACTATCAAGAATGGCATATTCAATTTGATGTATGTATTCATATATTACTGGATTATAAACATTGATGCGTGTAGGTCACATGTGTCAAACTCAAGGCCCGGAGGCCAAATCAGGCCCTTGGTGGATTTAATTTCGGCCCGCAAGATAATTTTTAATTAGTATTAGATCTGGCCCGCCGGTATATTGCACGCACACCTTCACTCAATCCTGAGGGTTTCCTCAGCTCAGAGCCTGACCCCAAACATTGATGAACTTGCACCCAAGATGAGATGCCAAGTATCTGGCTTGAACTAGCATCACAGAGCAGCAAACTGAGTTTTAATGGATGTTTCCTTCTGCACTTTGTTTCTTGAGACAACAGGGCATGTTTGTTTTTTTCTTTGCGGGAAATTGTTTTTTGAATCTGTTGTTGGCCTGTGGAAAAATGTAATCATAAGAAATGAAAATGAAAAGCTGCAGATAGAGCCATAAGAAATGAATGCAACTGATTGTGTAATGTTGTTTTTATAGGCAATCATTTAAGCTTTGTTAGTTCCAGGTTTAATATGTGCAATAAGTTCATTTCAATAAGTTTTGCAATAAACATTGAACCAGTCCGGCCCTCGACTAGTAGCCTACCCATTTTTACATTTTGGCCCACTGTGTATTTGAGTTTGACACCCCTGGCTTAGGTGTTCATCCCTTTAAAGCTGCAGCTGGTAAAGGTGGGGATAGTTTTAGCAACCTTATAAACTGCTGAATAGCTAATCTTATAATATTACATAAATATGTATTAGATATGTATATGTTTTGTCTAATAAGCTGAATCTTCAAAGAGACGTATTACTTAAGTTATCAAATGATTGAAGTAGAATAAAATAGCATCAATTCAAAGTATACTTAAGTAAAGTACAAGTCAGTTAAAATCAGGCAAATGTTCTTAGTTATCTCTTCTCACTTATTCTGCACACACACTTTTATCTGATGTGTGTGTTTCCTGTGTGCGTGTGAGTTTGCATTATTTACTTATACTTTGTGAAATTGCGTAACGACAGGCCGGATGTGCGTTGAGAACTTAATCAGATTTGGAGTTGTTCTTCATTTTCAGCACACGATTCAGGCATACAAATATATTTTTATTTCCAAGACAACACAGCGTGAGAGATACACACTTGAACAGGAACACAATTAAACACATTAATTCAAGTACATTTGAACAACAATCGGCAAACATTTGGACACAAAAGACACATTTCAGAAGGAACAGAAGAATAAAAGCAGTTCATAATAATCCCTTTGGAGTTGTCAGAAATATTACAAAGCTCTATGACAGGGGTGTCAAACTCAAATACACAGTGGGCCAAAATAAAAAAGGGGCCTGACTGGTTCAATGTTTATTGCAGAACTTATTGAAATGAACTTATTGCACATATTAAACCTGGAACTAACAAAGCTTAAATTATTGCCTATAAAAACAACATTAAACATTAAATAATCAGTTGCATTCATTTCTTATGGCTCTATCTGCAGCTTTTCCAGAGTCATTTCTTATGATCAAATTTTTCCACAGGCCAACAACAGCTTCAAAAAAACTATTTCCCTCAAAGAAAAAAACAAACAAAGTGCAGAAGGAAACATCCATGTAAACTCAGTGTGCTGCTCTGTGATGCTAGTTCAAGCCAGATACTTGGCATCTCATCTTGGGTGCAAGTTCATCAATGTTTGGGCTCAGGCTCTGAGCTGAGGAGACCCTCAGGATTGAGTGAAGGTGTGCGTGCAATATACCGGCGGGCCAGATCTAATAGTAATTAAAAATTATCCTGCGGGCCGAAATTAAATCCACCAAGGGCCGGATTTGGCCCCCGGGCCTTGAGTTTGACACATGTGCTCTATGACATGATACTTTCTTGAAAAAAGACATAAAAAATTAAAACCACATTATTCCCTTCAGAATAAGACGATAAAATCCAGCAACTTTTTGACCACAAGGTTCACATTTTCTCCGTTTTAGACCTGAAACAGACATACCTTAAAACATCCTGAATAAAGCTAATAAAGTACATTCAGCTTTCAGAAACAATTTCATTTATGTGCGTACGAAACATTTATATAATACCTCTTATTTTGAAATGCCACTTTAAAATCCACTGAATTCTTGTCGATTTATGGGGGAGAAATTATTAATCTGGCGGCAGTTTTATAATCTAACAAATGTTAAATAGTATTGATAATCATTACCAATCATTACATAATGATTACAAGAGCACTGCAACCACATGTATATGGTATTTAATATGCTGTGTATATCTTTTAATATTAGTAGGGTGGTCTAATACAATGTTTTCTCACTTTTTCTTCATATTTGACATTGTGATTTTGATGGATTCTCTGTAGATATATATATATATATATATATATATATATATATATATATATCTACTGTTGATATGTGTATTTACTGTTTATATATGCATTCTTAATCTGCTGCTACTGTAACAAAAATAATTTCCCACTTTGAGATCAATAAAGAACATTTAATCTAATTTAATCTACATTTTCAGGATAAAACTCACTTCAATCAGGAGAGACGGTTTTGATGTAAGAATACATATTTATTGCCAGGAATGCACAAATGAATGTAATGGAGTGTTTGGCGATTAGGCCCCGTTGTGCAGGAGTATCATTCGGGAGGGGAGAACCGATCCGATGAAACCCCCCGGGGTCTAGACACTGGTGGTGGTGAATGGATGGTTGGGTCGGTCTGAAGGGGAGTGGCTTAGCTTGACCCTGGTGGTGGTGAATGGATAGTTGGGTCGGTCTGAAGGGGAGTGGCTTAGCTTGACCCTGGTGGTGGTGAATGGATAGTTGGGTCGGTCTGAAGGGGAGTGGCTTAGCTTGACCCTGGTGTTGGTGAATGGATAGTTAGGGTCGGTCTGAAGATTTAAAAGGGGTTAGCGGAGCGCTATGATAGGCTTGTGAGAATAGAACGAAGTGATTGGTTAAGCTGGGGAGTGACGCCCCTGATCACTTATTGAGAGGAGAGAGAGTAGAAATATGGAAATAGTAAATGAATGAGTAAAGACGGTCATCCTGGTTGAACTTGCGCTGAGCTTCATTTGTATGATTAGTCCCAGTTTACCATCAGTGTGTTTCTGGAACAGTCTCTCACTGGATTTGGTTCAGCTCCCGAGCTTTATTCCTCCGATGCCTCTTCCGCATTTTGATGATCCACTGGATGGTGAGTTTGGCAAAGTTAGCGGCTTTGAAGAGAGCCATGAAGACGCCGCAGAGGATGGCCACGGTGTTCCAGGGATTAGCCGTCACAATCTGTCCGTAAATAGGGAACGTTTGGGTTAAAGGGGACCTATTATGCAAAATCCACTTGTTCATGTCTCTTCTACATCAACATGTGTCCCCTCTTCTTCATGTCTCTTCTACATCAACATGTGTCCCCTCTTCTTCATGTCTCTTCTACATCAACATGTGTCCCCTCTGTGTAAAGAGACTCTGAAAGTTTCAGGAACAAAGATTCTCTCTCTTTTTGTCCTGATCCATTTATATAAAAACCTGTCTGAAAATGAGCTGATCAGATTTTGGCCACTTTATGATGTCATAACGATTCTTTGGCTTGTGTAACCATTAGCCAATCACCAACCAAGGTAACCCTGTGAAAGGGGTACTAGAGCACCATTGTGTTCTTTTTAACCAAATCTCTCTCAGAGGGGCGTGGGGAGGGGCTCCTTATTTTCATCTAAAGTAACAGACAGAGAATCAGCACTTTTGAAACAGGGCTGAAACAGAGGGGATTATGGGATGCTACAATGATCTGTTTGGTGTTTCAGCCAATCAGAGACAGGCTCTGTATATATCTGAGACCTGTGATATATTGATGAAAAACAGTATAATAGGGGACCTTTAAATATTGATAAACGGAGAGGGCAAAGAGACGTGGAGAACTCACCAGTC